CACAGGCTGCGGAAGTGCCTTTTCTTTGTCCTGTGAAACTCTACAATTCAGCTGAATTTGAAAACTGTCAGAAAGCACTGTTTCTGCTCTCTCACTTGGGCTTCTTAGGAAAAAAGATGGCAACCTGCCAATATCACTGAACCATGTAAAGAGCCTGGCACCTGACTTTGCCAAAATATTAGTATGAAGAATGCATAAGACCTGCCAGACAGGCTGTAGTTTTGATGAAGAGAGCCAGGCACACCCATACCTCTACTCTGGGCCTAGTACAGATTCCAGATCCTGTTTACTAGTGCCATTCCTCATGACATGGTACAGACCAGGATGTTTCCCAGCTCCTGCATAGACAGTGCTAAGCCAAGACTTCCCATAACACCACTGGACCCACAACATATTTCCAGACTCCCATTATGAGATATGATATAGGGCAAGAACTTCTGCAACTGGGAGAGAAAAGAGGTTCAAGCCAGGCTTTTCCCTAACCCTATAGACCTCACACATGTTTCCAAATATAGCCTATCACTCCCACAGGACTTCCAACCTACAGTGTGAGGGTGAAATAAATGAGCTGGGATCCCCTAACCACCCTTTGGATCCAACGCATGGTGCCAGCAGTTTTGTTCTTTCTGCTTTGAACGTTCTCCTACAAGCCGCTGAAGTAGTTAATTCTCAAGTAAAGAGCCATCTCATGCAGTGCTGGTAGCATGGCCATCAAATCCTGCTGACATTGCATTTTGAGGAGATGATTACAGGTGTATATAAAGAAAAAACTGTTCTTACCTTTGTCCTTTTAAAAATGTTTAGGAAACTATGCATACAAAGCCCTTTTTAGAAACTTTTAGGTAGGTTCCAAAGTCACGCACTCTTAAGTTAGATAACATCATATTTATGGTTGCACGTGCACATTAAGTTGGCCATCCTATGCATTAAGATTTTTAATTGCATGACCAGTAGCTGTTTTCGACAGGACCCCAGCCTCATCTACAACTTGTCTTGAATGCACAGGGGAGTCAAATGAAAATTGAAAGGACAACCATCAATCTGGTATTTCCAAGCTGTTGAGTGTGTTGCTTGGCAACAAAAATAATGTTTTAAACTTTTTGTTGTATGTAATGTATAGATAAAACTATTTTAAAATAATTTATAGGGTTTCTTCAAGTAAAAAGTCATTCTTTTGTTGGTTGGAGGTTAGGTATGCTAATTGTTGCTACCCAGATCTGGCACAGCTGGGTGGACAAAGCAATAACCAGGCCCTTTGGATAGCTAAAAGATTTACAGGCAACCCCCACTTAACGCTCTTAATTGGTTCCTGAAAAACTGAGCGTTAAGTGAAATGAGCGTTAAGCGAAACCCATGGTATTTGACAACCCAAGATGGTGACTGCAATTTTTTTTATGACCCAAGATGGCGACTGTGAGTGTTATGTTGAAACTCACTGAGCGCTAAGTGAAATCAGGTATCAATTTCAAATGAGCGTTATAATGAAATAGCGCTAACTGAAACAGCGTTAAGCAGGGGTTCCCTGTATAGGTCACTTTGAATCGGCCTTTTTCAGTCACATTGAATAGTATTTTCCTTCAAGAATGGTCCCCTTAAATGAACTGCAAAATCTGGTAGTTTGTGGCTCCTAATTGCATGGATGCAGCTCTAAGAAATAGGATAAACAAAGCTCTTGGGTCAGAGGTGATATCTTTTATTAGACCAACTAAATAGTAGCAAAAAAATGTCTTTGCTTGCAAGATGTTGGGTACAAACACCCTCCTTCAGGCTGAGGAGAATTACAAGATTGTAAAAGTTCTCCTAGGTAGAAAAGAAACTTAATTTTGCACACGGGAGGTAGAAGGTGGAAGTTTATTCCCCTGGGTACCTCAGAGTCCTTTTGTGAGAGCATTGCTGTGATGTGCAGATTAGGCAGGCTTCTTCCCTGGAGATGTCTGATGTCAGACAGAGAGGTAAAAATTTCTTCTTTCTTTGTCATCAATGAAGTTTACATTTCCAAACAGCTAAATATGATATCTTCTATGTTTCAGGGATGTATGTTGTAGCCACATTGATCAAAGAAATAGAGATAAACAAAGCTCTTGGGTCAGAGGCAATATCTTTTATTAAACCAACTAAATGATAGCAAAAAAAATTCTTTCTTTGCAAGCTTTCAGGGAGAGAAGGCATATATTTTGCAGCTTGCAAATAGCTCTGTAGCCAGCACTGATACAGGCTACCTGGCAGCCACAGGGAGGGCAAACCATGAATATAAAACTGAGAGTGAGGAAGAGTGAAGGAGAGAGAAGAGAGAAAAAAAGGCAAAATTATTACATTCCTTTTTTTTTCTCTTGTTTCTCTCTCTCTTTCTCTCTGTCTTCCTCCAGCCCTTCCTTTCCTTATTTCCCTCCCAATAACTGTTCTGTTGTAGTCAGCAAATAAGATAGGATGTATATTTTTTCCTTAATACAGAAAATTAACTCTCTGTGTCACATGAATCATTGTTCTTCTTTTATGTGACCACTCCAAAAAGGCATAACACATTGAATAAGAGGATAGTAACTGAAGTGGAAATGTCCTAAAGGGAGCAGATATAGGATTAGTAAAAGTGGATTATTTTAATGTTTACCATGATCTTCTGCATAGCACAGGCACACAACATGCTCTCATACTGAAGCTTGCCACTATTTCAAAATACATTTAGGCTTCAAGAAAATACATAGTTTTGAGAGGCTGACAAAGTCCATGAGATTGTGGTTTAATTTTAATTAGCAGAATCTGAACCAATCAGAATACAAAGAGCTTTCAAAATCTATTGTTATTAATAGAAAGGTTATATGATTAGCAGCAGAGTACTCACAAATCCCTGGAGTCCTTTGCCTATGAACTGCTTTATATGTTTCCGTGGGTATTATCAGATACAGAAGTGAAGTCTGAATCGAAGAGAAAAACAGAAAATGAATAAACATTCATTAAAGAAAAAGGGATTAATAGTAAATTGTGGATCTATGATATATCCTTTCAGCAATAAGTATACTACTCACATGAGAGATTCATCAGAAATGAATAGGTGTGGCTCCTGACATATCATTCCCTTTAATTGGAATGAAATGCTTCATGGAGAACCCAGTAGTTCCTTGTTTTGGGAAAAGGATAGTTGGTATTAATTGGAACATGTATTAAGAAAGGTCCCCAGAAGTCTTGCAAATTAGATGTCATCTCTCCAGATATGGTAACTCATTTTGGAGGAAGCAAGCTGAAAACTGGTCTTTAATAGTCACTGACATGTCCTACATGCAGTAGAGAAATATCCGTTTCCTTGCTGGAAACCACTAACAGCTGTGATATGTGTGAAAAGTTCTGAAGCTCTGAAAATAAAACAAATCAGGAAAAATATGGTGCAAAATTCTAAAGGCTGTTGATTCTAGTCTGGTAACTCCTGTTGCAAGAAAAGTAACTGTAGGAGAAAGCTACTTATGAGGAATAAACCTTATAAAATAAAGTTTGCAAACTTTGCTCATGTTATCAAGTGCTTACACAAATAGTACCATCTGGACGACTTGTGTGAGTTGGATGACTTAACCCCAGTTATAACAGTTTTCAGTTTTATGGGGAAAGAAAAATAAGACATATTTAATGTGTATGGCATCTCACTACAGATAGATACTTCATCAGATCCAGATAGAATTTCTTCTTTAGTCTTAAGTTCTCTAAAGTCCATCATTTTATAAGTTTGTTAATATCAAAATTAATCATCATTTCATAAATACATGTGAAAATACAGTTATTTAGGAACCAATTGGAAGGTTTCTGGCACGGCATATATGCTAAGTGCAAAGAAAGAGATGGTCTTTATGAAAATGTGTAAAGTTACTCCAAAATTACGAGCCTGAAAGTGCTGCAGAGCTACTCAAGCACCCTGCGCAAGATTCTTGCTCACTATTACTGTCCAGTTTACTAAGAGATGGAGAGGATAGCTGCATTAGAATATTACAGTTGCATTTGAAATAAGTCGTGAACAGGTCAGTTTATGCTATATGGTATTCATGTAGTTTTGGCCCACCATTATGCGAGTCTGAATTCATCTGAAATGAATAACAATGAATAACAATATTCATTTGAACCTGGAGATTTTACATTCCTTTTTTTACTTCCCCTTTTTTACAAGTTGGTCTACTGTGAAGTGTGAGCAAATTTAATGGAAAGGGAGAGTAGGTCAGAATATAAATGAGAAATGAGCTGCAAGAGTAGTAGAAATACACTGTTAAAATGTACCTTGATGTTCAGTCAGATTTAATATCATGTTTTATGTGATATCTATAGGAAGTCCCAGAGTAGAAATACAGAAAAGGTGATATTTTTAAATATCTCTGATTTGAAATTTGCAATACGAAATATATTTTATTTAGTGACAGTTGAGTGATTCCTGTGTTATGGAGATATGTCTACATGACCTCCATGTACACAGACATACACACCTCCATAATTAAACAGATTCCTCAATGCAGAAGATTTGGGGTTCTTTTATTACTATACAAACAAATAATTTTGCATCTGTATAATTTTGTAAAGCTGTTTTCTCCAAATACATTTCTATGGTGCAGGTGGGGGAGGTAGTTGCCTGGATGCGGGGTGGAATTGTCAGCCTTTCTGGTTAGTGAATGCAGAAAAGCAACTACACATGATGTGCTGTAGTACAAAGCCTTTCCAATGTGGACTTGAATTCCTCTATAGTGCCAATAGACAGATTTCTTATTATGCTTTTGTCTCGTCTTCAGTGCCAGTGACAAGATTTTTTCCCCCACTGAAATCTAATTATTAACAGAGCTGGCAGGATTTCAGCTGGTACTATATCTACAGTGCTGTTAAAAAAAGAGAGAGAGAGGCACTTAAGAAACACTTGAAAGGGAATCAAATCATCTTTAGTGATTAGCAAAACAACACAACTGTAAACATTTCTCATAAGAGGGCTAGGTAAGGACCCTGACTAATGTTGTCTCTTTTACCTTAGGTGTGCAGAAGGCTATTTTGGACAACCTTTAATACCAGGGGGATCATGCCAGCCATGCCCATGTAATGACAACCTTGACTTCTCCGTACCTGGCAGCTGTGACAGCTTGTCTGGAGCTTGCCTGATATGTAAGCCAGGTACAGCAGGCCAGTTCTGTGAGATGTGTGCTGACGGATATTTTGGAGATGCTCTTGATGCAAGAAACTGTCAACGTAAGTCCGCTTTTCTGCTCCTGACAGAACAGATATATTCCATAGCAACATACTGCTTAGCACCTGAGAAGTAGGGGGCTGCATATATGCAAGTGATACAGTACACTTATACATATATTAATAATGCTATAATAATATGTATGTCTAGAAGGAGTGAAATTTCAATATATGCATAAAGCTTAAAAATCTTCCTGCTTCACTGACATGGGCATAACTTGAGTGTCTTTGGCACTGCAGCAAAGGGCATATTTTTCAGATGTTCTGTTAAGGGGCCCAGCAAGTAGTACACAACATTTCCGTACCCTAAGAGGACATTGTTTTTATTGAGGCCCAGTGGTGAAACATTTTATTTCCTTTAGGATTGGAATCTGTCATTCCCTTGTTTTAAATCGAGTGACTCCACTGAGGCAAATGGAGTTACAGGCAATCCTCGGACTTATGACACAATTGGTTCATGAAAACCAGGTCTTAAGTTGAAACATTGTAACTCAGAACCAATTTTCCCATAGGAAACAATGTTATAAATGGGGGAATTGGTTCCTGAACCAAGGCCTGATACTCTATTTTCACCAAAAAATCATCCAAAATTTTTTACTCAATCAATTATAGATGAGTAATATAGCTACATTAATGTATTTATATTATAAATAGTAATCACATTGATTTGGAAGGACTTCTTTGAGGAGACTGTGCTGGACTTTTTGAAGGGTTCTTGGCTGGAGTCTTCTCAGGAGTCTTGGCTGCAGGTTTTTCTGGAGTCTTAACTGCTTTCTTAAAGAAAGCGTCCAAGGAAGTTTGGACAGATGTTCTCCAGGGAGATGGGTGATGCAGCAAACTTGTTCACTGGTGTGGCTTGGCATCAGAGCAAGTGTTGTAAAGCCAAAATTGATGTCAGAAAGTTGAAATAGGGTGTCAATTTATAAATGTAAGCACAAAACGTAAGTGCGAAATGTTGTAGGTCGAGGACTGACTGTACATTGGTATAAAATTAATAGGTGAAAGGAGAACCAGTCCATCACCTTACTGTTGAATGTTGTAGGGATTACCAAGGGATGTTTCCAGAATACTTGGCTAATGCATGAAATTTAGAAGCCTGTATTGATGGCTCAAAGATTTGGTCTATTTGTGACTTGCTCTTTTGACAATGAGAAAAGTAGATTCATGGACTCTGGTTTGATGTACCTTACTTTTGGCACCCCTCATTCTGTTTTCTTTTCTCATCCTAAGAATCTAAGCTATCCTAGTTCTTGTAGATAGAATGACTTGTAAATTGTAAGCATTCCAAATTTTTGGAAATCAGGCCTCTAATATCTCAAGCTGTGCACCCAGAAATTGAAGTTCATCTTATTAGAGACTCTTGAAGTATATATGTATATATTGGCTCAGTTGGTTATAGTATGGCGCTAATATCACCAAGGTTATAGGTTTGATTGATGGCTGAACTGGGTGATCTCTTAAAATCCCTTCCAGCCTTACTTCTCTATGAAATATCAGTCTTTTAATTGAATATATGATAATAATGCTTATCTGCACCCAAGGAGTTGAATTAATTATTGCAAAGCATTGCAAGAATCCTTCAGGAAAGACAGTCTACACACAAAGTACAAAGTGTTGCTATTAATAGCAAGTCTTTCTGTTCTGTGGTTATAACATTATGAGCATGGGTATGTGTATGTGTATAACTATAATCTGTGTGGGTGTGTATAATGCAGTAGTTCTCATCCGTTTTAGACTTGAGGCACCTCTGGATAGATGTGAGGCACCCGTTGGAAAATGCCAGCTTTTAGTTTTCATTCTTTTTTGCCTACAGGAAAATAATAGAGCAATGTTTCTATTGCAAAGAACTCAGAAAGACCACAGCTGTAGTTTTCTGTTTGGAATTTCTAGGTTTATTTGGGGAATCATGTTTGCACACCTAACAGCACTGACATGGTCTGGCACCCACAGCACCTTTGAAGGATCTCCAGGCACCCGGGGTGCTGTCACAACTTGTTGGAGAATAACTGGTTTAATGTATGTAGTAGGCATATGCATAGCTTTAAAAAGAGATCAGCAGACATGCATGTATTATACAAAAGGTTGTCCACATGTTTTACAACCATGTACTATTAGAATTTCAGCATTCTCAATGGGTCTCAGAACTAGTTAATAATTCATGGGTATGATGTCACATAATTCAACATGTTAAATATGTAATGTTTAAAAGCACTGCTTTTCACAAATCAAAGTACAGTCCACCAAATTTCAGCACTCAGCAGTTTACCATCCACCCAGAGTCATTGACATGGATGATGCTTTGAACATGCAGTAGTGGTGGTAGCTTCATGGGAGAGGATTATGAACATGGGACAGAAGGAGAGTTCAGAAAACATACAATTAATAATAAATAGTATTAAAGATAAATACATTTTTAATGTAGAATTATAAGCTTTGCTTTTGTAATTAGTTGCAAAGGAGAGCCTCATGATTTATTCCTATCCTTGTGCTCACAGTTATGCTGCACATTACTTTCCAAAGTTATTTTCTTTCCATCTTTCATGTGGATTTTCATTTTGCATATGATTTTACCTTTCTTTAGCAGACTTCCAAGGAGTCTTGCCCTGCAGCTACAGTATCAGAGGCACCATGACTTTACTTTGTTGTTTTCAATTTTCACCCTTTATTAAAGATCCAAACTCAAGAGTATTGAAAAACATGATTTTTTGCCCTCAAATTATTGTTTGAATATTTTTTCTCATTCTAAAGTAAAGTGCCAATGTCAAATGTATTAACCATTTCAAATGATGGTCCAACTTTGTCACAGCATTTCTGGATTTCTTTATAAATGTCCAAGGTTTGTTTGATTTAATCCTTCTGCACTGGTTTCTTGTCATGGAAGTGAAAAATGGTACAGTCTTGTAGGGTAAACAGTGAGGGATTACACTGGTAGTATCACAGTTGGGTGAAACGTTAGGAGTTATTTAGGCATAATGATGTATATTCAAATATGTCTACATACAGAAGAGAAATAAGTCAGTGCGTTTGATTCTTAGACCCCTGGCAGATGTACGCGTGAAAGCGTGATGGGATCTGACGTGGAATCCCCACAATCGCACTTCCTGCCATGCCACATATGCATGACAGGAGACATGCTTGTGCGATCCAGCATCAGAGCCCATCACATCTTATTGCTGGTTCAGGGGGACCATGCTCCCTGCATTGGCAAGCAGCAAACTGGGAGCCGTCACCTGATCTGGGCTCCCAGCTGCAGGGGTATACCATGTGCTCCCATGTTTGGGAGCCCAGATCAGCTGATGGGGCTCCCAATCATGGGTGTCCAAGGCTGCACCCTGCAGCTGAGACCCCCATCAGCTGACAGTTTTCAGCCTCAAGGGCACATGGTGCACCCATGAACTGATGGGGCTCCCATCCAAAGGGACATACCCCACAGGGACATACACCACAGCTATAAGTTATTACACATTTTTTGTAATACTTTTGTGGATTATTCCTTGTTTTATCACACCATTAATTTTATTATTGTGTGGCTGGGTAACAACTTGAGACATGTTTGATTGGTTAATCATGTGCCGGGGGGTTTTATGTGTGTGTGCTTGTGTTTGTACTTCTATAATCAAGCATGCTGTCTTTACAGAGAGAGGGGGTAGATCTTGACCACTGTAATATGGAAAAAAGATTTCGGTACTTAGGGAGAAAGAAATTACCTGTTTCATATACACAAATTCCTTGACAGGGTCTTTTGCATGACAAGTGAGGATAACACGTTTCCCCACCCAGAGGTGAATTTGTAAGCAGGGTTTAAGTGAAATAAATGCAGCTTATAATGCTTAGCAGTTTAGTAGATTCATACTACTAAAATATATATTATTGCTGTATACATTAGACATACTGTTAGCTGGAAAAATAACCAAAGTCTTGACTTCTAACTTCTGCTCATCTGTGGCCAAAATAAGAATATATTGTAGGGAATTTTGAGTAATATAATATAAATAATATAACCCCATGTGTGGATAAAAATACACTGATTTCTTTCTTAGATTCTTATGGTACCATATCTCAAAATATATAATAGGAAAAAGTATCCAGGAGGCCTTACACAAACTTTGGCCTAGCTTTTCAAGAGTCATTGATGTTCCAAAGATGAGACATAATGCCCATTGCAACATATCTTCTTCAAAGTAAGTTTCTAATTACGAGGGACAAACATGACATGTAACAGAATTGACATGACATGTAAGATGACATATAAAACCCTAGCTCCTAAAAACATAGTACAAGCTGCTAACAAATAATAAGGGGAACAGAGTTTTAAAGGTATGTTTCAATGGGCATTATGTCTCATCTTTGGCACATCATAGTTCTAAAAATTAAATAAAACAAGAAGGGAAAAAGAAAGAAGCCTGGAAATTGTGGTTAAATATATCCCAAAATATAAGCAAATTAAACCTTTCTGAAGACATAAAGAAGCACTGTTATTATGACATAGAATATCACCAAGATAGCTCTAGGATACTACAGCTTTTTATTTTGTTGTTATTTCAGCATACGTGCCTCTCAAAGACTTTGGAAAATAATAGTGTGGCAAGTCATAACATTTGCAGCTTTTTGGTTTGGCACCCACTTCATAACATGTTAAAGTAATTAAAAAATGACATTCTGTTTTAAAGTCAGCCTTTACCAACAGGTCCACACTGTCATGAAAGAGATACTGCATTATTTCTTTATATGCAGGGGAAGGATAACTGCAGTATATCAAGTGGCAGCTTGCAGTGTCTGAGATGCTGACATATAAATGGCAACCACAGTGTGTACAGTTGCAATTGAAAGTGCTTCTTAAAATGAAAGTGTCAGGTTGGATGTTAGAAAAGGACTAGAGACTTACAATCAGGGGAACTGCAAGACAGAAAAAGACATTGGCCACAGAACAGCAGCGAGCAGCAGTGACCATGAGATGATTGCGTTCAGGATCTGGAGGAAAGGAAGGAAGGAGAGAAGCAGAGTAAGGACCCTGGACTTCAGAAAAGTGGACTCTGACTATGACTCACTCAGGGAGCTGATGGGGAGGATCCCCAAGGAGGCTAGTCTGAGGGGGAAAGGAGTCCAGGTGAGCTGGGTGTACTTTAAAGAAACCTTACTGAGGGTGCAGGAAAAAACCATCCTGATACTCAGGAAGCATAGGCGATGCGTAAGGAGGGCATGGGGAGGCACATGCCCCACCTGAGATTGGCTGCCACCAAAACTACTGCCAACTTCTGCGGGTGGTCACCGCTCGCCACCCGCCCCTCCGCACCTTGCCGCCTACACTGTCACTGGCTTTTACAACTGATCCCCGCTCACCGCTGATGCTGCTGCCTACAAATGGTGCCCCCCAGTCTCAGGAGGTACCAGTCCTTCATGGCAGGAAGATTAGCAAGTATGACAGAAGACCAGCTTGGCTTAGCAGGGAACACTTAATTGAGCTAAAACACAAAAAGGAAGCTTACAAGTGGAAATTTGGGCAAACTACTAGGGAGGAGTATAGGAGTATTGTTCAGGTATGCAAGGATGAAATTAGGAAAGCCAAAGTGCCACTGGAGTTGCATCCAGCAAGGGATATGAAGGGTAACAAGAAGGGTTTCTACAGGTATTTCAGCAACAAAAGGAAGATTAGGGGAAGCATGGGTGCCTTACTGAATGTGGGAGGCAACCTAGTGACAGATGATGCAGAAGAGACTGAAGTACTCAATGCATTTTTACCTCAGTCTTCACAGGTAAGGTCAGCTCTGAGACTACTGCACCTGGCAGCAATATTTGGGAAGGAGGTGAGCATACAACAGTTGCAAAAGAAGAGGTTAGGGACTATTTAGAAAAGCTGGATATATACAAGTCATGGGGTCGGACGTGATGCACCTAAGGGTGCTGAGGGAATTGGCCTATGTAATTGCAGAGCCACCAGCCATTATCTTTGAAAACTGATGGCAGTGTGAGAGGTCCTGGATGATTGGAAAAGGAAAGAAGGAGGATGCAGGGAACTACAGACTGGTCAGCCTCATGTCAGTCCCTGGAAAAATCATGGACCAGGTCCCCACAGAATCCATTTCTAAGCGCTTGGAGGAGAAGAAGGTGATTAGGAACAGTCAGCATGGATTCACCAAGGACAAGTCATGCCAGACCAACCTGGTTGCATTCTATGAATGAGATAGTTCTTTCTGTGGATGTGAGGAGAGCAGTGATATACCTTGATTTTAGCAAGGTTTTTGATAGTTTTCAACAACATTCTTGCAAACAAACTAAGGAGGTGTAGATTGGATAAATGGACTGTAAGGTGGAGAGATTAGCTGGCTGTATTATTGAGCTCAAAGGGTAGTAATCAATGACTCGGTGTATAGCTGGCAGCCAGTATCCAGTGGAGTGCCTGGGGGTGCAGTGGGGGTCAGTCCTGGGACTGGTTTTGTTCAGTATCTTCATCAATGACCTGGAAGATGGGATGGAGAGCACCCGCAGCAAATTTGTGGATGACACCAAACTGGGGGGAGTAGTAGATATGCTGGAGGGTAGGGCTAGGATTGAGGCACCTCAATAAATTGTAAGATTGGACCAAAAGAAATTTCATGAGATTCAATAAGGAAAAGTACAAAGTCCTGCATTTAGGACAGCATCATGCCATGTACCAGTATAGGTTTAGATTGGGGTATAGGAGAGTTGTGGAAGACGATGATCGACAATGTCATCTTTGGTTGTTGCAACAGACTACTCTCTAAATTTTACCCAAATTTCTCTTTCCTGCACAACCACTATCCCTGCCCATCTAGAGTCTTGGTTGCAGAGGGCAGGCTGTTCAGAAAACCTATGTTTCTCATTATTCAATCTCCTATGGAGCAAATGTTTTTAAACTTGATTATATAGAAATATGCAAAATGGTGTGCTCTAATTCTACTTTTCTGGTGACTTGGTGTGAAGCAAATTCATCAGTGTAATTACAGTTTTATAAAGGCTGTGTCAATACATTATGTTTCTAGTGCAAGAATTGTCACTTTCCTAGTAGAAACTAGGAGCATACAAATATGTATTGTTTCTCCCAGAGGAAACATGTTCCTTCCAGAAGAAAGATCTTTTAGGCTGACACCTGAAAGATCTCACTTGCAAAAAAGTTTCTCCTGCAAAAATCAACACCTGCAGGATGTTCCAGTCCCTTCCCAGTCTGGCCTGGGAAGCAAGTGAAGCAGCTGCCCTACCGCTCCTTACTTCTTTTCCCATTCCCTTCTAGATCAGGGACTGCCAGCTGGGTAGCGTGGGTGGCAATTTCAAAGTAAGCAGGACCAGGAATCCAAGCCTTGTTCCCCACATCCCTGACTTGCCATTGCCACCTGCACCACCTAGCTGGGTTGGACATGTAGTGACTTAAAAGCTGGAGAACTGGGAATTGAGGTTGAGGAGGCTCTTTCCAGCCATGCTTCCCCATGGCTCTGGCTTTAAATTGCCTTGTGTTCATCTTGGCTGCACACATGCTGATTTTAAAGGCAAGAAGCTGCCTATTGACAGCCTGCCCCTTTTCTAGGCATGGGGAAGGGCACCTGTGTAGCTCTCCAGCCAGGGGCCGGGAACACATTCCAGCTCCTAGACTATCTGTCTATTTTTCTAATTTCTATTTTCTTTAGAAATGAATTCCTGTCTGTGGCCAGTGTTACAATGCAAGTCATGTTGATGCCAATGTTGTGTGGAGTACTGCATAGTGCTGTCTGGCATCTGATCCTCCCTTAAAATTCAGCTCAGTGAGAGGCTAAGCTGCTCACACCTCACAGGGCTAGCAATAATTAGAATAGTACCATGCATGCTTGGCTACCACAAATAAAGGTAATAGCGAAGTGCATTGTGACAACTGTTCTCTGTTTCCCTATAGCATGTCACTGCCACATCAATGGTTCATTCTCAGAGATCTGCAACTTACAGAGCGGGCAGTGTAAGTGCAAGCCCAATGTTGTGGGGCAGAAGTGTGATGGGTGTAAGGTGAGTAATAAGAGGTGGGATTCTATTTAATTCTTTTTCTCGGTTTTACACAACTAAATATTCTTCCTCTTAAATGCAATGGTATGTTCCATACACACACACAACAGGTAAGTGGCTTTATTTCTGTCAGGAGATCCAAGTTATTTTTCTCATTTTTTAGAGCAAAGTTGATGCTAAACAAATATGTCCCATTCTGTGCAATGAACACATACACAATTTTTTTTAAGTTGTCCAAAAAATGTATATACTGTGAAAACATAATGTGGCTGAATAAAGTAATACACATGAGAGTCTTGTGGGGGGAAAGAGGAAGCGGAGAAACCTGGCCTAAGAGAGATCAACTCATTTACCATATTTAGCCACATCCAGACAACCCTGAATTTAAGACAGCCCTACAATACTTAGATTCTACACATGGGAACTTTATAAATTTGTTATAGTTTTTCATGTATAGAATCCAATTATTGGAGGGTTGTCTTAAATTCATCCTCCCCCCACTCCCCACCACTGCAATGGGGAAAGCAGTGGCAGTAGGGGCAGGTGGTAGGGGAGGCAGTAGTGGGGAAGGTGGTGGGGAGGCAGAAGGTGGGTAGGTGATGGAAGGAGCAGTGAGGGTGTCAAGCAGCTTGACTCCTGCCACCTGCCTGCCCCACCCTCTGCCTTCCTGCAGCCTTGGGCCCTCTATGCCCCTTCTCCCTGGTCCTTCCCCGCAGCATCTGCTTCCCTCCCCTGCCCATGACAGCTTAGTCTTGCTCTGCCCTGTCAGACTCTGTCATCAGCCCCAGCCAAGCTCAGTAGCAGTGGCAGCAGCATGGCAGCTCCAGCCTGGGATCCATGTACCTAGCCAGAACTACTGCCATCACCACTGCTACAGAGCCAGTCTGGGGCCAGAGTATCTACATGCTTCATGCTCCAGGCTGGAGCCAGGCCTGGAATCTATTGGAGCAGAGCAAGGGTAAGCAGTGGTAGGGATGGGGGCCAGGAGGGAGGGTATGAAAAGGCTATGGGGTGGGTGGGAGATGGACTCCCTGCCACCTCTTCCCCTAAGGCTGTGGTGGGCAAGAGCAGTGCAGGAGAAGATAGCAGCTGTAGCACTGGTCCCAAGCCAGAGCCAGTGCCAGAGCCACAGTAGCTGCCCCTTTCCCCTCATCCCATCACTTCATACTCAGTTCCAAGATGAGGGACCTTTTTCCCCATGTTAGATGGGGGAAAAGAATCTTGACTTGGATTTGAGTAAATACAATATTTAAAAGAAAAAGCAAAATGCTTGTCCATCTCTGCCTTGAAATTTGTAGGTTTTATCCAAATCCATGTTAAAAACTGCCTGTTGCTTTGCTGGGTGTTCAAATACATACTTTAGAAATCACAGCAAAAAACACGATCCATGCACCATTCCAGTCCCTCTCAAAATGTGTTTTCTTCAGACCAGTAGGATCTGTTGTATGCACTACAGCAGCTCCATAGACAACAGATGGAAAACTCCTGTTTTAGGTCCCTGTGTCTCAAAGCACTTGAAGCATGTGCATAATTTAATGTATATGATTAATTCTGTGGAATCAATAGCTAAAATTGCACTTACCTAAGTAGTGTTCTGGGTAAGAAGCTCAGTAAATATTCCCCTTCCATTTTCAATACTACTTAAATGTTCCACTCAAGGGGACTCCAGTGATGTCAGGGAAACAGCCCAGTTGCATTGGCGGGTAAAATTTGCTCCCCCCACTATAGCATGTACATAGAAAACATCTCAAGCTAGCTTAGTATAACTCATGGTTTTTTAGTCTCCGTTATCTAGCTCATATTTTTTATCTGTTGTATTTTATCAAGTGTTAGCTGCAAAACTGTCCTTTGTGTAATACAGCCTTTTTCTCAGTCTTTCTTTTCACCTTGTCTCTTTGCCTTTGTTCTCTGTCTTTTCTCTTTCACTCCTCAAGCCCAACCATTTTTGGGGCCCAGAAAAGCAGTTCTGTGTACCCTGTGGCTGCAATCCTTTAGGATCCATGTCACCGCGCTGTGATATGTCAGGGAGATGCATCTGTAAATCAGGCTTCATGGGTAGACGCTGTGAGCTCAGCAGACAGGTGCACAAACGGAGGGGAAATCCACAGAACACTCAGCAAATCCAGCTTCCTCCACAGAGACGGGGTTTTCCAAGTGCCAGCGGGTGCCCGCGAGGTGCTTATAGGCCTGTCACTTCGGTAATCTGAAAACATGTGCACTGCATGGGCTGGATTAGGTGTGCTTTTTCTGCATGGGAGTTTTGCACTCTTCCTATACTACGTGAGAGTAACGTGCTATCAGACTTAAGAATAGGGAAGGCTTCTTTAATATATACCCATTTTCAGGACCCAGCATAGTGAGGAGAACAATATGGTCAAAACCTTGATGATCAAAATAATTCTACAGACATCATTGTCAACAGTGGCATGTATAGAAATAAGTGGTGACATTTTGATTCCATTGAAATCAATGCATGTTTATCCATAGATTTCATTTTACAGGATGTCATCCTGCACTTTATGATTCAGAATACAAAAAACTCTAAAAATTATGGTAGAAAGATTGGCCCAAAAGCATGAAGAGAACATACCTACTCTGAACCACCAAATGTGGTAGGTCTTGAGTTTTCTTTCAACATGTCAGTTGCCTAAGATGACTTATTTTATTGGCTGAAGTGCACAATATTGGAAGAACCAGTTTCTGAAGCTGAACACAGATTTATCTTATCTCCATATAGTCCCATCATGTTGCATGGTCAGTAAAAGCAGTCTAATGTTAATGTTATGCTGTTCTCGTGTACCACTCCTAAAAGGGAAGTTCCAGGAAATAGTTTTCTTTCCAAGAACAACACAGATATATACTCTGTACATATATTTCACAGACATCTTGACAGGGCAAAAAGTCGTAATATATTCAGAAAGATTCAGTACCTTTCTTTGTTAATATCCAGTGGCCTGGAAGTGAGAAACCTAATCCCTTGTAAATACAATTCTTATAAAATACCATATTCATTTTGGTATATAAATAGGTTTCACTGAGGATTCATCTTGGGGGGCTGCATGACGAATCAAAATGTCTTTCACTCAACAAAACTCATGATTATAGAAGAATCAGCCTGCTGGTGATCCTTCCTTCCTGTACACCATGCAGTGAGCTAGCCTGCAAGGCAATTTTTCTGTTTTTCACCCTTATAAACAGAATTTATTAGATCCTATCAAACCTTTTATTGAGAGCTGAGCTGCATGCTGTGCCTTGGTTACTTCACTGCATTAATCTGAATGGCTGTCCTGAGGTTTTTGTGTATTCTCATTTTCTGCCTTTGTTTTTCCTTTCTCCTCCTATAAAAGAGATCTTTGGAGATGGTCTGTAGATTTAATTGAACTTTGGAATTTAATTACATGAATTTGGGTATTCTTTTCTCTCTGTTATATTTTATCAGGCTGAGGTGCATGCCAGTGAAGCATTTCACTATAGAATTTGAGAATCAAAAGGTGGATAATTTCTTGTTTTATGTATGATCGATCTTTCATTCAGTTTCTCATGCTTCTGCAAGGCAGCCGCTGCCCATTGGCCACATTCCTGCAACTTGTTCCATATCAGTCAATGCCCGTGGCAGTGGGAAATCCCAGTGTTCCCGTCCACAGGGCTCACATGGAATCCCATTGAAGTCTGTGTGATTTCACCCATACAAAAGAGGGTAGAATTTACTTTTGTGGGTCTGATCCTGTGTTGATTATAAACCAGTGTAGCTCCATTGACTTGACTGAAACAATATTATTTACACCAGTAGAAGGTCTAACTTCATAAATGTAGGTCACATATTAGATCATTTCAAAAGTAAATTTAAAGTGTTCCCCTTCGCTCTACAAATAATGTATTCAAAGCAAAATAATATTAACTATTTGAACTGTTCTATCTAATTTTTCAGCTTCTCCATTTGCTGTGATATAGCAAGCTGCTTATTAGAATTTGTCCTTAATCGTGGTGCTGTGACATGAAATCCAAGCTAACAGTGATAAGGAGTTTCACATTCTCTGGAAATCATCCTAACTTAACAAAAGGAAGGAAGGCAGGAAGGAAGGTGGGAAGGAAGACAGGAAGGAAGGCAGGCAGGAAGGAAGGAAACTTTCCTCTAGACCGTAAAAAGAATTATAAGAGGCTAATTGAATCACTCTGTCCTGGGCTGTTAGAGCTATTGTCATAAAATATTGGAGTTAAGGGATGTAACTTCCCTTGACATAGCTGCATTAGTTTTTACTGTAGCTGAATTTGACCCATGAATTTTAGTTTAAAGCTTTGCTTTTCTGTCTAATGGCAAACTAGATAGTTTGCCTTTATTTCTTTAGTGAGCTCTAAGTATTCTTCAGTGTCAAGGCATACATAATGCTTTACAGGTATGTAACAAGATTGTCCCTCCTCAAGGACTGCCTATACACATGCTGAGGGGAGGGGCATTTTAATTAGAGTGGTTCCCAGAGGGCCAATCTAATTAAAATGCCTGATCATCACATCCGTTAAGCCCCCGTGTGTTTAAAAATGGACACAGGATGCCACTACAACCATTTTAAAATGCATGGAGGCTTAATAGACATGATGGTGATGTGATGCTAGAGAGTTTTAATTAGAACGTGGAGCAGACTCAATTAGTTAGACTCAATTAATGACCAGACTTGATTAATCAAGTCTGCTCTGACACATTCTATTTAAAATATGAATGAGCAGGTGTATAGGCAGCCAAGGAGGTTAAATCTAGTGGCACAAATATCCTCCCATTGAATTCTCTTCCTATTCACCTAGAGAAAAAAATGGGGTCCTAAATCAGACAAATATAATGTAAATGATAATGATGTGGTGCAAAGCTTAGAGCAGACTGTGTTGAATGGTAGGTCAGTATTTAAATCCATTCAGTTAGCTTTTGGCTGTGACCTTCAATAATTTCACAATCCTTATGTCTGAATAGTTGGCTAAATGACCAACCTTTTAGAACACACTTAAAAGTCTCCCTGTTGAAATAAATTACTGCTGTGCTTAAGAATGCCTTATAAATGTTTCCATGGAAAGGCATTTTCAATCTGATTGCCTTTTTTTTTTTAACATGTACAGGACAGCTCTAGAAATCTAAAAAAATTCTGTATTCTTAAAAAGCAATCCAAGGTGCTTGAATTATATTATCTGTTTCTTTGTGTCATACTGAAAAATCTTTATTTAAGGTTTGCGTGTGTCTATTATTGGCTTTTCATTATATTACTGGATTATATTATAATTTTGCATTATTAATTTTGTTCGGATCATTATTAACACTGTTGGTGAGGAAAGGCCCAAAATAAGTCCTCTATTCCTATCCCTTTCACCCATTTTCCCCTTTGCTCTGTAGATCCTTGTTAATCCTGACTAAATGTTGTTCCTTTCTCTCACGTGGCAGCCTGGAACATTTGGCCTGCAGTCACCAAGGGGGTGTGTTCCCTGTAACTGCAATTCTTTCGGTTCCAAGTCCTTTGACTGCGGTGAAAATGGACAATGTCCATGCCAACCTGGAGTAGCTGGAAAGAAATGTGACCGCTGCGGTCATGGATTTTACAACTTTGAAGAAGGAGGATGCACTTGTACGTAAACAATCAGGGCCTATATAATGGCCCGTTGGATTTCTCCCTTCTTTGATTACTCCTCTTTCACTTTATATAAGGCAGTCCTTTTGTAAGAATGTAATAATTGTATACCGGGTCAGAAAGGGCCTATATCTCTAGTTTGTGTCTCTAACAGTAGATGCTTTCAAAAGGTGCAAATAGCTCAATCCATGTATACAGAGAAAGAAGTATAATATGCAGGCACTAGAGATGTGAGCCATTCTTGTGTTTTTTATATTAATTTATGACTAACATGAGTATACCAAGAAAAATAGGCTGTGCCTTCATCCCCAGTCCTTCTGCTTAGGAAGCTTGCACTAGAAGAGTACAAGGTATGGAGGCTGAGCAGAGCTGGTGGCAGGGCACAACAGTCCAGAGTGTCTTCTTATGTGGGCTTAGGATCATGAGCTGTTCCATCTACACATTGACCATAGCTACGGGAAAGAAACTCGAATCACACATTATAGATCAATTTATTTCCCTGTAAATAAATGAATAAAAAACATCCTTTCTATTTCGACATAATCCCAGTCCCATTCTCTTCCCTTGCTTTATTGGCTGCTTGTGCAGTTTTATTGGCCCCTATTTACATGATTTGACAACTTACTTGCAAAATCCTTTTGCAAACTTGACTATAAAAAGATCTGTAGAATATCTGACCTAGAATATGCCTTGTATATGTACTGTACTATCCTAGAATTCTACACAAACATCTCTCACTGATTCTTTCTATTCACATTCAAGGACATAGAGATAAACAGTACTAAAATGACTTCCTACTGTCCTAAGAGTGGCACAGATCACTAAATCCAAAGGAGACTCACTCCATATCAGTTTAGCTGAGAAAGACCCTTCTTTTGGCTATGGATTATATTCAAAACTGGCTTGGTGATGTCTTCCATAAGAGGGTGTGTATACAGAGGTCAGGTTACTGGAGTGTAAATCTGAAACATATCAGCATGAGGAAAGGAAAGGTATCAGCCCCTGGACTCTCTGATGACAGAGCTTGAAATGAAAAGCAATAGTAACTGCAATCTTAAAGTTCTTAGCACACGTGAGAAGAGAACAGAGTACTGCACAGTGGATGATATTCATGAATAGTCTCCTGTAATATAAGCAGAAAGTACGTCCCTTGTCTTAAATCTTTCTGCCTTTAGGCATCTTTCAGATAATCAGAATACATAAATATCTATTCCCCCCTCCCCCCCTGCACTACAAGATGTTGCCTTTCTATGTGGTTGTGAAAAAAATGTCAATGAGTAAGCTTTCACATTAAAAATATAAACTTCTCTTTCTGTGAGCACTAAAATGGAAAAGTTATAGCAAAACTGTTAAATTGGAAGAACAATTTAAGTCCAAAGAATTAAAAAAATATTGTTTTTTTAACAGAAATATTTGATGAGCAAAGGTAAAGCAAACATAATTATAAAAAAGCAAAGTAAAATGTTAGGAACTTTTTAGGAGTCAGATTTTTAGAAGTTATAAAATGAGAAAATTTCTGTTTTAAAATACTGCTGTTTTCCCCCCATTTATTTTTAGTGCATTCTAAGGGCCATGCTCCGAATTCAAACTAAAGCCGGATAGAAACTAAGTCTAGAGTTGTTACCCATTTTCAAGCACTAACTTTGTAGGTAGTTGGCTCTTGTTATACCGAAATAGTCATGTTTGTGGTGTGATAATTACTTTGCATGTGTGGCCAGTCTGAATTTATTGCGCAATTCACCAGTTAATTGTGTAATATATGTATTGTGTAGCAGGGGCCTTAGTGCAATTTTAATGTGTTCCATCAACAGGCAAAAAAATATAAAACTTAATAATGAATCACAGGGAAAAGAAGGCTTATCTAAGGGTATTATATCCTGACAGAAAAAAATAAGACCTCAAAGTAATTACTATAGAAGTAGTTAAGTGTAGAATAAAATATTTGGTTTCTTTTATCTTTAAAGGAATTAATTTAGAGATTTTTTTGCCATAATAAGGAAACATAAAATCTAAAAAAGTTTTCCTAGAAAAACAAAACACCATCATATATTAATGCTATCAAGGGAGCAACAATATAGAAAAAAAATCTACATAACTATTCAGTTCTTCACCTACAATAAATGTATTCCCTGTTGTGGGTATTGTTGTTAAGCTACAACACTAAAAAAATACTTTTCATTGTCATATCACTTCATCTTCAGCTAAGCAAAATTTTGTAAGAAATAATGTTCAGACCTGGGACCCCTGAGAAGAGAATACAGAGGCACAACCTTCAGTCTGTCAATGATCTTTGCTTGAATGGGCCTCTGAAGGCACGTGCCCAAAAGCTTGCAAAGAACATTTGTTCCAACTATTTAGTTGGTCTAATAAAAGATATCACATCTACCCAGAGAACCTTGTTTGCCTGTGTTCTTAGACCAACACAGCTACAACCAACAACCCTCAGAGCCCGAGGAAGTCAAGGAGCTGTGTGAGAGTGCAGGAGGCCTATGTGGAACTTACTGCAGGGTTACAGTAAAAGTGAATATTTTTCTTCATTACTTGACTTATTTTAGAAATATTAGGGGAAAGGAAATGTTATTTTTATCAAACTGCAAACAGGGTTTTTTTCTCCATGCCTCATTCCTTATCTAATAGGAGTTAAAAGAACTTATGCACAAGACTCTCTTTGCACAAGAGAAAGCTTTAAAAGATCATGTTATATACCAGGGCTTGACAGTGTTTTTGGGCAGAGTGCCAAAAAGCTTGCAACCTCAATTTGTAAGATGTGGGTGTGCCAGAGGCAGATGGTGGGTGAGCTGTGAGAGGTTCAATCCTTGTTGTGGCAGTGCAGCCCCAGTCCCTTCCACACCATCTGCCCCAAGGTGTAAGTGCCAAGCAAACTGCCTTTGCATGCCATATTCTGGCACCTGTGCTGGGTACCTCTGTTATGTACTTTCAGTGGGGTATACTGGCCCATAAGACCCTGGCAAGGGGAAATGTGTTATTGTGCTTCTGTCAAAACAGACTAGGGAATAGACTGCCATTCACTCAGGCCCCCTGTACACATTACAGGTATCGTGCAGTTAAGTGGTTAATTGCGCAATTATCTTGAGACCAAAGTACTTATCACACAATAAAAAGCTCCAACCAGCTGTAAAGTTAGGCCTGAAAAACATGTACTAAAATAATAGCTGGTTGCTATCAAGCTTTAATTTGCATGTGTAGCAAGGTCTCCCCTGTGGCTGGGAGCCCTGTCTCCTTCCAGGCCTCCCAGCCACAGTGGTGCATTATGCCCAGCCAGGGCTGTGAGTCTCACAGCTGCTCAGGACTCTCAGTCCCAGAAGCTGTGAAATATGGGTCATGGCAGCAACCCACAGCTGCTGGGACCCAAAGTCCCATACTGCAGATGCTGAGTCCACGCAGCATGCCTCTCAGCAATCTCCCCATCCAGAGTTTTCATGTACCCCTGGGATGGTGAGGTCGCTTCTGTGGTAACCCTCCCATTCTGGTGGTTTCACTAACCCCAGGGCAGGGAGGTAGCAACAGGGGCAGACCTCTCACCCCTGGGGTTTCATACACTCCTTGGGCAGCGTGATTGCCACAGTGATCCCCCCTGCCCCAGGGGTACATGGGTTGCCCCCATGGCAGAGAGTCCTTCAACTGGGGTGCATGGGGCTACCAGCCATGGGAGCTTGCTTTTTGCTGATGCAGAGGGAGCCCTTGATTGGGCTGCCCCTGCATTGGCAATAAGACATGGAGGGATCTAATACGTGATCTCACAGTCGCGCTGCCTGACATGTACATGTGACATTGCAGGAGGCACAGTTGCGTGAATTGCTCATTTGATCCCATCATGCCTGCATGTGTAGAGGGGGCTAGAGTCACAGTCTTCTTGTCTCCTCACCCTCTGCTCTAATAGGGACTGGGGAGAGGTTAATAACTTGTGTACAATCCCTCCCACATCTCACCCACCTGTGGAAGCTGCTATCTTACCCAAGTTGCTATGTACAATACAGACTAAAGAGTTGACTTATTGCTCTCCTTCTCCCCTCCCCTGATATATTAGATTGTCTAGAATCTGGCCCAGTATATTTTAAGACGTCTTAGATAAAAACCTGAAGCTTTAACTGATAACCTTTCAACAGCAGTGGAGCTGGGAATACCCCAAATTCAACTATTTGTATACTCGGTGAAGTTTTCCATGAGTTCTGTTTTATTGTGAGCAGGTGCATTACTTCTGATTACCTCCAGTTAAAGCTTTAGTGTGATCATTCTGTTTAGAAAAAATCTTTGATTTTACAATTCAGTACCTTGATTTGTTTCTTCTGCTTCCATTCTGTGTTGTTCCAAACTTACAATTTTATTTGAAAGCAGAGTCCATTTTAGTGTGAAGATTTTATTACACAAGCATTACAAGCAGAAGGTGCCAAAAAACTGGAATCAGCATACCAAAATTTTTATTTAACTGCCTTCTAAAGCAGTAGGGGAGCATGGAAAATCTAATTCTAATGTTAGTAACCCCACTTTGGGCTATGAATATTTCAGTGGTAAGCTATTTACCAATATACTCCTCTTATTTCTCCTTCTGTCTCTTCTTTATGGTTTAATTGTGAAAAGAAAGGAAACAACAAAAAAAAGGAGATTAGGGGATGGAAAATAAATATATTTGACTGTAATGAGCCTCACTGCAGGGATATACCAGGGAACAATAAGATGGGGAACCCTTCCATTTCACATAGTAATACGAGGCAAAGATAAGTTTATTTACCTTTAGGAAAAATGTTGTACACACTTAATATAATAAACATTGCATATATAAACATTATTTATAGGGAAATGTTTTGTGTGTGTGTGTGTGTGTGTGTATGAGACAATATATGGGACAATGTACAGTGTAAGCTTTGATGTAAATAGTACGGAGTAGTAAGGATGAATTTCTTTCTTATTTCTCTTTACTTGTTATGCAGCTTGCGAATGTGCCCATTTTGGCAATAATTGTGATCCAGTCACTGGCCGCTGTGTGTGCCCTCCCAACACCATAGGAGAGAAGTGTGATAAATGTGCACCAAATTACTGGGGCTATGACATTGTCAGTGGGTGCAAGGTGAGCAGATCTTTATTTTCTCCGTATGCATTACATACTTTCCAAGGGATAAAGTATGGTAGTTTACACCTAGGGCACAATTTTAAGCTTATGCAGCACTCCATGCTTCTGTTTGCATTGTGAGGTTTATTATTGATCAGAGCTATACATGCCTGCGACTTGCACCTGACTATTGGAGATACTCTGTCTTGGGGATGCAACCCATTGCTTGCAGAAGAAAAAGCCTTAGTAATTGCAGCAAGCCTTACTGTTGCCTATGCTGAAGCTATTGTTTCTAGTTTGCATATGATTGCTTCATTATAGACATATTAACACAACTAAGAAGATCACTACTTTTATATACAGGCTCAATAGATCTCAATAAAAGAAGGTCTTTGTCATATACTTAGAAAAAAGACTAGGGAAGGGAAGGGAAACGGGAGTAAATGTCACCTTTAACCTGAATTCTTTATTCTTTTATCAAGAGATGTGTAAACATTCTTATTAGCATCTAAATCCCACACATCCTACTGTTTGACATGAGAGGTAAGAAAGTGTAGGGGAGAAAGAGAAGGAGAAGGAACGGAAAAGTTGGTGGAAGTAAGTAAGAGAGTAAGGGAGATGATATGAAAGCTATAATAATGTAACATATTCAGCAAAGCCTCAAACTAGTGATAGAGAAAATTATGCCGAGTTCAAATATCTGCTCCTATCTGCCTTTCCCATTGACAAAGTGGGATTTAATACTGCTGCAATTACTCAGAAGAGTTTATGTTGCCTGAGTATAGTTGTACACCATTAAAATACTGTCTGAAAAGGCCATTTGTCATGTAGCTGAGGTTGATTACTAATTGCCTCGTCTTTTCTTCTCCGCATGTGCATGTACAGCTTCCCTTGTGAAATTTCTGTCTTTCTGCCATATACAGAGTGGTTGGCTACTGAAACTGGTCTAATAAGGGTGAAGCCCCATGTGTGATCTGTGGAATACATTCTCTGTTTGTCTTTTATATGAGTGCATTAGCATGGCAGCTGCTGTGGCACCACCTAAATTAATAATGATATATCAGCTACATCTTCCCTTTTAACATGTTACAGCTAACTTCTCTTAGGCAAGGTGTGAATGCCCACTCCACTTGAGCTCTTACAGCAACACATTTCAGGACCTGTCGTAATTCAGAGAGCAGAGCATTGCACAGAACTGCCTCTTTGCAAAACAAACATTACATTTGATTGTAATTTAGGTTTAGATTGCACACTGAGCGCATTCAATGTATGGTGAGCAATTTGCTTTCGAGGCTTTATGCTCTGACATAATTTACTGAATAAGCCTCTTACTGTGAAAAGGTTTTAAATCTTACACTATGGAGCAGCCTGTCAGACCTTCCATAAGCATTAGATTGTCTGTTATATACAGTAAAGATTGAATTTGTATCTTTCTTAGAAGTCACTTGAGTTGTGAAACAATCTTTTGAATTCAGGTGGTATGCTAGAGGTAGTCACCTAAACAAGATTTACATTTTGCTTACAATTAAATCTGTGTTTTCCCCTCCTTTTGCCAGCTTTCCTTCCTTTACTTCAGTGAGAGTATCTATGCCAGTTACTGTAGTAACTTGTAATACTGGCACTAATTACTGGTGTCCTGTGATAGCACACCAGTATAGCCACAGTTATGCTACTGAGGGATTGTTCTCTACATAACCTCAAGGGCCCATACAGTGTCATTTACTTGGAAGACCTTCCTGACTGAATGGTCTATATTTCAGTGAAGTGTGCACTGTGAAGAGGGGCCAAAGAGGAGAATAATTTCCAAAGTGAATGCATAGTGGGGAGATTAAGTTTCCTGATAAAATTGTGTCTTTGCAGCAAGCCCCATTCCTTAGAGAGAGTTCAAGTTTCTATCACCCCAAAGTTTTAGCTGCACAAAGAAGTTTGTTGTCCACCCTGGACCATAAGGACTAATTGTTCCACCAGGTCTGGTGGCCTTCAATGGCACTAGGGCAGCATGGATGGCTGCAGCTCCAGAAGTGTTCTCTGAGCTATCCTGCACAGAATATGATTTTTTTTTTTGTGCACTTAATGAAGTGCTTTTTTTTGTTAGTTTACTCAGAAATAGTCTGGTTACTGTATGGGTTCTTTTATGATACATAAGCCTCTAAAAAATAACATTTGATGAAGAGGAAAAACAGTTATTAAGAATACAGATAGATTCTCATCTCCTACTCCTCACCAGCTCAAGCAGGTTGCCTAGCACTATAATATAAATGCATTGCTGTTGACATTACAAATATATTACTATAGAGGAGCTCCCGTGTGTGTCTCACGAATGGCTGCAGATAACAAGAGTTCTTAGGAGAAATGCAGTTGACGTTGATTTTGTCTCTCTCCTCTGTAGGCCTGTGACTGCAGTGTGATTGGCTCCCTCAGCTTCCAGTGTAACTTAGATACAGGCTGCTGCTTTTGCCGCCCAGAGTTTGCCGGGGAAAAGTGCACAGAATGCAGGTTGGGATATTGGAAGTATCCACAATGCATTGCTTGTGATTGCCTCCTGGCAGGAATCAATCCACAGTCCTGTGATCCAGAGAAGGAGAAATGTTCCTGCATGGATCGTACAGGTCAATGTAGCTGCAAGGTAGGACAATGTGGTGTGACATCAGCTTAGACTCTGACCTCATTTTATGTCTTTTTTTTCCCTGTTGTTACAGAACTGTTGTTGTTTCTAACTTGGACTGTAGAATATATCCCTGCAATGTGTCCCATGTTTCTGGTCAGAGTTACTTCATGTTACTTCCCTTCATTATGTTTCAACAGCTAGGCTTGCACAGAGGACTAGTAACTAAGGATGAGTGAACTGAACTGGCAGTATTGCCTGTTAATCTTTGTGTGAAAAATATGCTTTTCACTCCATTTTAAGTCTAAACTCTGGATTCTCCAGGAGGAAGAAAAGAATTTCCTAAAACAAAAGAAATGTTTTTCTTGTTTGTTAGTTTTAACGTCAATGAAAGCAGCTATTATTACATGCCTAAAAGTGCCATAGACTCATAGATTGTATGGCCGAAAGGGAGCTCATAAGATCATTGGGTCCAACCCCCTGCACCAAGCAGCAAAGACAACTGGGGGGTTGGCTGACCCCAGCAAGGTGACTGTCTAGTCTCCTCTTGAAGATTTCCAGGGTAAGTGATGGCACCACCTCTGGAGGGAGCTTATTTCACAGTCTGGCCACCCTGACTGTGAAAAAGTTTTTCCTAATGTTGAGCCTGAATTGGTCTTTCAGGAGTTTGTGGCCATTGCTCCTGGTTTTACCCTCAGGTGCCCTGGTGAACAGTTGCTCACCAAGCCCTTGATGTTACTCCCCTAGTGTAGCAGTAAGCTGCTACCAAGTCCCCTCTCAGCCTTCTTTTCCTCAGGCTGCAGAGTCCCAGATCCCTCAGCCTTTCCTCGTATGGCTTGCCTTTGAAGACTCTCATCATATGGGTGGCTCTTCTTTGGACTCTCTGAAGTTTGTCCATGTCCTTGTTAAAGTGTGGTGCCCAGAACTGGACGCAGTACTCCAGCTGCGGTCTCACCAGTGCTGAGTAGAGCGGAAGAATCACCTCCTTGACTTTGCTGGAGATGCATTGATTGATGAATGCCAGAATATTATTTGCCCTGCTGGCTACAGTATTGCACTGCTGGCTCATGTTCATACTGTGGGCTATTATTACCCCTAGGTCCCTTTCATTCATGGTGCTAGTCAGTTTGGTGCCGCCAAGCCTGTAGGTGTGTTGGGGGTTGCTCATCCTGAGGTGGAGCACTTTACATTTCTCAACACTGAACTTCATCAAGTTCTGATCCACCCAACTTACTAGCCTGTCTATGTCTGCCTGTAACTGTAGCCTATCTTCAAGTATGACCACGCTTCCCCATAACTTGCTGTCATCCATGAACTTAGCCAGTGAGCTCTTCACCCTCACATCCAAATCATTAATAAAGATGTTCAAAATATTGGACTGAGCACCGACCTCTGTGGGACACTGCTGCCCACTTCTCACCAGGATGACACAGATCCGTTTGCTATGACTCTCTGAGTTCTATCCTGCAGCCAGTTTCTCACCCACCTGACTGTCTTGGAGTTAAGTCCACAATCCTCCAATTTTTTCATGAGAATATTGGGGGATACTAAATCAAAGGTCATGAACCCAAACACAGCAGCATGGGGCTAGCATGTAAGAATGAGAAACTAAAAATGACTGGGAACAACGTGCAAAAGCAGTGACCATTATGGATGGATAGAAAAAAATTAAACAGTATGCATTAAATTAATTTGTCAACATTCTTTCAATTCTAATAAATAGATACAGTGGCAGTAATATTGACAACAAACAATTTTTCCTGGTGAGTGGTATAATTGATATTGTGTTTTTGTTTTTTTAATAGCATGCTCATTAATACTTCAGTTTTATTGTTAAAATGCCACAGATTTAGTATTAAATGTTTTCAAGAAGACTGTAACTGTTATGTGCATCCGGTGCTACACAGTCGGTGCATCTATATGTGCAATTAGTAGGCCTGTGCGAACTGGCTAATATTCACTTTGGATTCAGATTTGGTCGATTTGGGGGACAGTAATTTGATTTGGTGATTCGAATCACTGTCCCGAATCAATTCGGCTGAATCTGATTCAGAGATTTGGCCACCACAGAATTGGCTGAATCTATGAATCAAACAGGCCCCATCACCTGCCCATTCTCCCAGCTCCCCACATGGCAGCCCTGCCCAGCCCCAGGTTCCTGGCTCTTTAAAAAAAAGCCCTAAGTTACCAGCTGCTGCCATGCGGAGGGGCGATCCCCACTGACCCCCACTGCCCCACGCTGTGTGAAGGGCTCTGCCATGAGCCCCTATCCCCCACCCACATAAAAGCCCCACACTCACCAGCTCCTGCCAGGCCAGGGCGGGGAGGGGAGGAGGGGGGGATCCTTGCTTCCCACCACTGCCCCACGCTGCATGGGAAGTGCCAATGGCCACTGCAGCAGCTGGTGAGTGTGGGGCTTTTTTTTTTTTTAAAGAACCAGGAGCTGGGGCCAGGTGGGGCAGCCATGGCAGGGTTGGGGGGAGTGGGCAAGGGTGCACTGTAGCACCTTTGTACCCTAGCCAGCCCCCGGTTACTGTTTACACATTGGTTTTGGCACATGTAACTACTCCACTGTAGGATAGTACTTGTCCCAGAGAGCAATACAGGTGCATGTGTAGGTGGTGCCACTTTACTGCAGAGCTAATTAGTCAGCTTTGCAGTAAAGTGCACGTGTAGATACACCCAGTATAACTTTCTCTATTCATACTAATTATATAACGAAGCTAAAAGCATTGACATTGCAGCAACAAATACCTGAACTTTTCAGCCCTTGTTAATATTGTTCAATGATGTAGAAAACTATTTAGATAGAGAGGAAAAAGCTTTTCTCCACAATATTTCTATAAAAATCTTTCTCAGCAAGTACAGTTGGTACTGCACCTTAAATGTTCTGAATGTCAAAACAAGTTCCTAGTAGACAAAAGGTTTGATTAACCCTGTCACTTTTAGAGGATATGAAGTTTCTGATTTTTTTTTCAATCAGCTATTAAACCCTCCATGTCCAAAGTTCAATTTGATTTCCCTATATATACCAGCATGGAACCTATAATTATCCAGTGGATTACAGTATAACAATTGGAAGTTTGAGAGCTCCTTAAATCTTTACTTAAATCTAGTCATCTTATTTTTTCTGAATCCCCCTTTTCTGTATATTGTGATGTTTTTGTTTATTTTGAGTGAGTTTTAGCTCATTGGCATCTCCTAAGTAAAACCATCTCCCATGCTCTTTCTCTTACAGGTTAATGTGGAAGGTGTCCACTGTGACAGGTGCAAGCCTGGTATGTTTGGACTCTCTGCCAGAAACCCACTTGGCTGCAGCAGCTGCTATTGCTTTGGCCAGACTACTGAGTGCAGTGAGGCAGAGGGGCTGATCCGTATGTGGGTGAGTAGGGAACTGCTGAGCCGTGTAATGTGATAATGTTGTTTCCTGCTGGCGTCTTTTAGTCAGGCACAGAGAGGTAGCTAGAAAATGGCAAAACATTTAAGCAGTCTTTTCCCCTGCGTACACTGAGAAGTGGAGAGAGAAGCATGTTCCATTAGACAATTAGGGTCAAGACATTCAAAAAAAATCTCTGATATAGTAATAAATGTCAAGCCAAAGTGAAGCTATTAAAACCCTGCAAAGAGCAGTGTAGTCATGTGTGGGGAAATTGTGCTGTGAAGATCCAGTGCACTAGAGCATCATTTCACGTATATGATACAGTGATAAAAATCTGAACTTGATGCACAGTTTCCCCAGACGTAGTTCAGGGTCAGAGTTGCTTGTTATGAAATATGTAGATTTGATTTGAATTGTATTAACCCTTTATTTTTCCCCTATTGTAATTTTAAGCAATGTTTGTTACAGATAATGGTCAGTTTTAATCCTGGAGTACAGAATGGAGCCCCCTAGAACAATTAGCAGCCTACCCCCTGAGATAAGAGTGGAGCCACAGACCCAGTACTAGATTGACAGTCCTGGGGAGTGAAACCTTTTGTATTACTATAATTGCTATAGTGCAGACAAACAGAATTCTTTTCAATCACTTTGCGCCAGTGTGTCTCAGCTGTTATCTGGAAGGCCCATATCTAATAGAAAGAGGATGGTTCAGATCATTCAGTCATTCATCTCTCTGCCAGAAAATATGTCAATTATGGAATGAACATCTGCCCACTGGCAACTCAACTGAGGCCACTGACTTACTTTGTTCACAGGACATCAAGCAGCCATCAGATGATGGCTTCTGGCCTCCACTGAATTGGGAATTGGACTGAATTTCAAGTGAAAACTTTTCATTGAAAGGCTCCATATCTCTTTGTCAATCTGTTACCAGTATCATCCATTTTTCCCTTGTCCATTTAGTGCATGAGTTCCTTCTGGAATATAATAGTACTTCTCCCTGCTCATGAACAGAAAAGGGTTGCAGAGAACTGGAACTATTTCTCAGGATTGTTCATTCACTCTGTCAATTAGATGTTGTTGAGAGTAGAGAAGAATGCAGAATAAGAGTGATAAAAACCAGTTATACCACAAATGAAAGTATCAATTTTGTTGCAAACTGTTTTGGCCTTCACAGGAATGTACAAAATAAGCATAATTTAAAGTTGCTGTTTGTTCTATGTTTGTTGATTAATTGTCCCTCCTTGAATGTTAAGGTTTAAGTAGGGCTTTAGAGCTGCATCATGGATCACCTGGGCATTTATGGCTCTGAGGAGTCCAGTCTGCCTCAAAATGTATTCATGGCCACTGGTAAAGTCATAAATTCCTGATGCTGAGACAGAACTTACATGTATTTCCTGTTCAGTCACAACTTTCTGGTTGATTAAACTATTTGATGTATCATGGGAAGACCCACCTCCAGGAAGTTTACTTTGAATATACTAATTATAAGGAATACTTCTGTGTCCCATAATTGCATAAAGGCTTCTGGGAATTTTAAGTGGAATGATAATTAGTAGTGAAACTCACAGCACACATTATCCACCTTCTGACACTGGTAGCAATGTCTTGTTCATTAGCTTAATTGTTGTTCCGGGCTCTTTAGAAACATGGAGTCTGTATTTCTGAGTTTGTTTATTTTTCTTTTTGTGTGTTCATAGATGATATGTGAACAGCTTGGTAATTCTATACAGAAGGTATTGTAGTTTTCTTTTGATCACAGTAAGGATTTGTTTGCCATATTATTGATGTCCTTCAGTGAAGTCAGTTATTCCTAGATAGCTATGTGACATCTTTAATTTTTACAAGCAGGTATAGCTTTTGGGTCTGCATAGTTCAAGGTCTGCATATCACTTAGTAAACACGATAGTTTTGGGGAGGAAATAAAAGCTTAAGTGAATTCAGATGTCATTCAGTGAATTCAGGCACAAACCTTTCAACCCTGAAGACTTATTATAGCAAGGTGTCAGTGTATGAACATGAGAGATGTGTTTCATCTTAATGCAAGATTCCAAGGCTTTGAACATAAGAGATCCAGCCAGCACTGTTGAAATCACATTAACAAGGTATATTGACAGTCTTCTGTTCAGCGCATGCTGTATATGGCCTTAACCAGTACTATTGGTTCCTTTGCTCATGAACATGAAATGGAAAAAGCTAAGTGATGGAATCTATATGCAATGCTTACCTTGAACCGTCATATTTTTATAGAATTACTTCAAAAAACCCGTTGACGCTTCACTGTAACTTGAAATGAATTAATATAAGGTTTTTAAAAAATTAAGACTAACGAATCTAATTACTCAAAAGCAAACAAGCAGAAAACTCTCAAAACAAAAAATCAGAACCAAAATGCACTTGATCATTTGATTTTTTTTTTTTTTTTTGGTCTTTTTAATTCCTTTATATATATACAGGTGACCTTGAAAACAGAGCAAATGGTTCTGCCCCTGGTGGATGAAAACCTTCAGCAAACAACTGTCAAAGGGGTTGCATACCAGCATCCAGAGATTGTAGCAAACATTGAACTGGTGATGCAAGATCTCCATTCAGAGCCTGTTTATTGGAAACTTCCAGAGCAGTTTGAAGGAAAAAAGGTTAAGATAAGTTTCTTCTGAATTCTGGCAAATGCTGACATTTTGCAAATGTTTTCTTTAGTACTGTTACAGAAGTTATAACAAACAAGAATGTGCTTGAAAAAAGTTAATATTTTATGCTATCGTTTGTCAGGGCAAAAAGTTACAAAATAGCAGTTAATTCTCTTAGTTGTCATTAAACTCAAAATACAGATGACCTCTTTGTCATCTGCATATAAAAATCTATAAGAAAAATGAGAGTTTTGTTGCAGAACGTCACACTCAAATGATAGTCCACAGATCTGTGAGGAATTCCAGTTTTTCAGTTATGGTTTATTGCTGTTGGTCAGTTGAGGGTTTTCAAGTTCAAGGTGTCTTTGTTTGCCTGCATTTTCTATAAATGGGGTTTATTTTTCAAAAAAACTTTAATTTGAAAAAGGAAAAATATATTAATAATGTTTTACTATCATGACTCTTGCTTTTCCTCTCAATCTGACAGAAAAGTTACATAAATATTTCACGTCATTTATAGGCCCAGGTAGTGGGAAATGTCTGAAATAAACTTCTTGTTGGATCTGTTGTAGGATGTATTATTGAAACCTCTCAGTTGGATTTCTGAAAGCATAGAAATTCCCTTTTTCGCACAAACTGTTTTGAGCACTCAGGATTGCCACATAAAATTTGTTTCTAAAGTTAGGCAGAAAGAGATGTCTATGTAGATGTCTTTGAATAAAATCCATATCCTACAACTAGTAAATACCTCTGTTCTCTCACCCTTATACATGTGTGCATGAATACACACACACAAACACGTGTATTTGTATCTGTGTGATACCGCATTTACTTGAATATAAGATGACCCCAAATATAAGATGACCCCCCCAGTAATTAGATTCTATATGTGGAAAGTTTATGGATTTGTTATAATTTTCCAGGTATAGAATCTCATTATTGGAGGGTTGTCTTAAATGTGTCCCCCTATCACTGCTACAAAAGGGACAATAAATCTGGGTGTCAGATGGCCCCCTTATCCTCTATCTCCCCAACTTGTTTCTTCGGCACTCCCACCCCCACTTACTGGTCTCCCTGACACTTGGAAGTCAGGGGCAAATTTGAAAACACTAGTCTTGAAATAAACATATTTGTAGTTGTTTGCCATAGACTTAGTTCATCCAGAATTGATGTGTTTTACCTTTGATGTGTTTTACCTCTGCTGTAAGCGTTAGCACAGGTACTGCATAAACACACTTTCAAACAGCACTTTTTGTACCTACTTATATATAGCACAAACTATACATGATATTAGTCTAAAGCCAAAAGGCTCATGATTTGCCATATAGTTTATTGGGCTGGTCCCAGCAGAGTCAACACCATTTCAAGCCCTGGTGACCCCATGGTTCAGCACTGCTCAGTATGCGTGTGTATTCCAGATGCCCCTCACAAAGGATCCGTGTGCTAATTACCCACACATTACTGAAACCAGGTATTCTTGTCAGAATCAAGGGATCCTCCAAAATTTTTTATACAGATGAGGTGCAGGGCAACCTGGTCTGGCTCTGCCTCATGGAGGGTTGAGTCACACTAATTACGTACAACAAACTGAGAGATCGGCAACAGAGGGATTCTGGGTGAACTGTTTGATGCCCTGCTTGGTGATGTTTGCCAGACATTTAAGGTGGGTGAAAAAACAGGAACCATTTGGAATGGGAAAAGTGCAGTTCAGCTGTGGGAGTGAGGAGAAAGTTGAGATGTATTCAATGTAGTGGCTCACCATGGATTCAAAAAGAGTTGGTGCTGAGGGGAACTGAGCAAAATGGGCATTACCATGTATATAATCGAGATGGTCTACACTAACTGATTCAGTGGAGGTAGTATTGGTCCAGGTGGTTTTGCTGTACCTGGGAAGGGAGATCTCCTTCTCTCTGGCCTTAAATGGCTTGTGTATTTGAGGATGGAAACTTGTCCATTGCACTGAGGGCAGGCTCCCCTAGGAGAGTCTACTATAGCTTCCGAATGGGAGGATCTTGACTACATATTTTATTTTATTAGATGGGGGATTTCTCCCTAGCTTGCTCTTTTGGCTAAGGATAAGTGAGACTTGGGGGCATCTGAATCCCAAGACCTCTGGGCTCAAGGCTTGCACAAGAGTGCCTGCCATGGATTTGGAAGTATCTAGAGCCCCAGGCTGAAGATACTTGCCAGTGGTAACACTACATGGACCTGAATGACTGAGCTCTGCTCAGTGGATGGAATTTGGAACTGATTTGACTAATTTGGCCTAAGGCACAAAATTAAGAAAAAAAAAATTGGTAGTTTCTTATCAGAATGTTTCCCCAATATGAGATATGTGTTTTATAGTCATGCTCAGTTTGGGCTATATTTAATCAGTTTCATAGTTGGTTTCCATTAATGAGCTCATGCTACCTTTGGCAGCAGTTTAATGATGCACAATGCATTTAACGAGGTGTCCTTGTATGCGGATGTAAGACAAGGAGCTTTTTTTCCCATGTGTATTGTGGGGGGAAAGCGTGTCTTCTATTCGAGTAAATAAGATGCGTGCATAGTTATGTGTATGTATGTGTGTGTGTATGTGGATATGCACTGAGGTATAATAATAAGTAGTTGTAACTCATATTTTAATATTCTATTTTGCTTTATTAGCTGACTGCTTATGGAGGAAAGCTGAAATATGCAATCTACTTTGAAGCACGGGAGGAGACAGGTTTTGCTACTTATAACCCTCAGGTCATCATCAGAGGTGGGCCTCGAACAAACACTAGAATTATAGTTCGGTATATGGCTGCTCCTTTGATTGGCCAGCTGACCAGGCATGAGATAGATATGACAGAGGTAAAGTTTCAGTCTATTCTATTCCAGAATGTGATCCTTTCCATCTTTTAAGGGTGTTAACTGGATGGCTTTTGGGCTATTGTTTCTTTCAGCATGAATGGAAATACCATGGTGATGATCCAAGAGTCAGTAGGTCTGTGACCCGTGAGGACTTCATGAATGTACTGTATGATATTCATTACATTCTTATTAAGGCTACTCATGGGAGCATCATGAGACAGAGCAGGTAACTATTTCATGCAGTGGTCTGAAATAATGCAGTCAGTCTCACCTCATCCATTTCAGCTTTCAAACTGAATTTTATTCATAGAAAAATCCATAAGGTCCATTTCAGTGATAAATACAGGAAGAATATGGTGCTAACACACCTCAAGAAATGTGAGACAAATTTTATTCAGTGGAAAATCCTACCCCCAGTACTTAAATGTATCCATGATGGTAAGAAACCCAAGGCCTAGAAAAAATCCAAAAAAACCCAAAACTACATTTTGTAAATGGATATGAATCCTGTGCTATAATTTTAAAATGTTAATCATAGCAGACGAGGTGCTATAATAAAAATTCAAGTCTTAGCTTGTGAAATATTTGTGTTCCGCAGACAATAGGGAACAAAGGATTGGTGATGAAAATAGTGTCCTTTTTATAACATCGCATTTGCTCCAGCTTAGTAGAAGCAGATAACAGTTATAGGTTACAAAAAAATCTACAAAAATAGGTCATAAATATGTTTATGAGGGTGTGAGATTTGGAGAGAATGTTACTAAGGTGATAGAGCTGAAGGGGTACCATGAAACTTTGCAGTATTTATGCAGTCTAGAATCAGTGCCCTGAAAGGATACAACCTGGCCCGGTTAATATGTATGTATGCATGTAATTGTAGGTTATTTATATGTATGTCATTTTAAAGAAAATAACTGTCCAGTTACCCAATGGTTGGATGTCCACTGCCACAGTGATTGTGCTAGACCGTATAGCTGAGAAGTTTCATGGCAACTGCCTATTTCTGGCAAGTTGCATTTGTGGTATTTTATTAAATTGTAAGGTAAATCTCAGTTTCAAGGGACTGGGAATCAGATCTGACTCCACATGGAAAAAAAATGTATATTATCTTTGTTTTGTAAACATTTTCCTTCTGTTGGCATTGAAGAGCTGACTGAGTTGTGGGAGAGACATCTGAATGCTATCCTGACGCATACATTAAACTAGAATTGGTTGGTTTGGCTGGTTTGGCTTGACTTCAAGTTGATGCAGACAGAGATATGCACTGCACTCGGAATCAGCATCAAAGTGCCACCCCAGTTTTATCAGGACTACCAGTAATAATGAATAAATCAGGGGTAGCAGGGAATGACTTTCAGTTCCAGAGTGAGTTTCCTCGGGTACCAGTTAGAGAATCAAAATATCATTTTTGCAAAGTCAGATTTCAGAACATGATTTTAGTGTTATCCTTTGTTCTTTCTGGTAACTCTCTATCTGAAGTTATAACCTTTGTGTATAAAACCGCAGTTATGGTAGAGATGGTTATGGCATGACTAAATTTTATGATTTCTCTAGCATTTAAACAATACGTCTCATTGTGGCATCTGAGAGAATATATGGAGCTTAAAGAATAGGAACACATGAACTTTTCAGACAAACCCTTCAGTCTATATTTGGACATGTTCTCATTGATTTTAGAGGAAGTTTCACCTGAATAAGGATTACAAAAATCAATCCCTAAAACTTCCTTGAAAGTTAAGGGAGATTGGCCTGAGTAAAAACTACAGGCTTTGATTCAGAAAATCATTTAAAACTCAGGGCTAAGTCCAGCACTCAGGCACGTGTTGAAGTTAAGCAGGTCAAAATGAAGACTACCTCACTTAAGTCTGGAATCTGTTCTTGTTTTGGGATCAGCCATTTACATGCAAAACTCTTTTCTTCATCCAGCTGCCCTTAATAAGACAGGATGAGGAAAAGGAAATAAAAAATAAAAAGAAGAAAATATATATTGAAGTGTTTTAATATTTTTCAGAGCTTTCAGTGAGGTGTTAAAATTTCTGTCATTCCAATCTGAAAATTCTTTCAGCTTCATTGTTTAGAAATCCAAAATTGCAGTTGATTGATGTACTACAGAAAAAAAAATTATAAGAGAAAAATTGAACCAGTAACAGACCCAAGTGTAAAAATAGCTTAATTCCAACGCTACCCCTGTATTAGCCATATAATTTAGCAGCAGTGCTAATCTTGTTTCTACTCATATGTTACATTTATTACAGGGAGTGATTTAGAGGCTTCAGCTAAAAAGCCAAAGCCCAATGTTTTCTATTGCGTTCATTTTGTTGTCCTCCTTTTCACATTCACTACTCTAAATTGAAACATTTCTTATATTAGATTTTGTTTTGGTTTTCAGGCAGCTGGACTGTGATAATAAATCAGCTTGAATTGGAAATATGCTTTCAATTTGACTGTGAATTATTTCAGTATCCCAGACGCTGATCAGGTAGCAGTGGTTAGGCTACTTCCTATTAGATATGCTCCAGAAAGCAGCCGAGCCTAACCTGCCTTAAGTAACACATTCACACAGACAACAGGTAGCTTTGTGGTCCCAAAGTATATTATTATGTAAATTTAGCTTTCTGACAGTAAATAGTTTTTGCAGCATACCGACCATTGCCTCAGTTCTGAAGATGACAGGAAGGCATAATCCACTCTGTCTTGGTATTAAATGTACAGGCACTTCCATGCGAGATTGTGTTGATACATCATACAGGAGCAAAATAAGTTTTTGCCCTATTTATTTTTCAGTCATCTGATTTCATTTTCTCTTTGTTCCATTTCTGTATTCAATGAATGCTCTATCACAAGTAGCAACAAGGATATACAGGCTGAAAGGTGCTCCTGTCATATGGTGCATTGTATTAATGAAAACAAATTAAAGCTGAAATCTTGGTTGCACGGAAGTCAGTCACAAAACTCTAGTTCACTTTAATGAGCCAGGCTTTCACCTGGATTTCTCTCAGCATGGTAATACGGTGCCTGGTAACACCAAGGTAATAAGTGGAATAGAAGTTCCTCAACAATCAGTTGAGAGAATGAATGGGATCTAATTATTTTTATTAGCCCACACACAGATATTTAATACATACATTCTGGTTTCATTTTCTTATCTTTTTTTTGATTGAACACTTTATTCAAAGTGTTTATATTTGTGGGGAGGAGGGGTCTTTCCTTCCTTAGATTTGGCATTGCATCTGGAAGCTTTACAATTTCCACGGCCTTAGACCAAACTCACAGCTGTCTCTGGGTTTTCTTAATCTACTCAAGTTCAGTCCTCCCTTTGGACTGAAAACTTTCAGACCTTGGTAGTTTTTTAAACAAACAACAACAACAAAACCCAAAAAGTGTGCCAAAATAATAAGTTAGCAATTCCCCAAGATAAATTATAATGAACTAGAATTGTCATTTCTTGTCATTGTCCATGCTCTCTTGCCCATTCATAATCAGTTTGCCTGTTCATTGTGCATTGAGAGAGAATGTTTGGGAGACATGGATATAAAATATTGATATAATCAAGGAAACATTTTGGAAAGTAAAGAGTCAGAAACTCCAGCATGAAAATGTACCTTTTTCTGACATTAACAAACTTCCGAGTGTTTCTTTGTTTTTAATAGTTTTCTTGTATGTCCTCATGATCCTGGAAAGAGAGAGAGGGAGGGAGAGAAAAAAAAAGACAGATGTTGGCCGCAGATCTTAAAATTCCTGCTAAAAGGCTACTATCCAATAGCTTTGAAGTCTATTATAGAGCTTGTTAGCCTGGTTTAGTTGCTGGGGATAGATTTTTTTTTAAAGTTGCCTCATTAAAAGCTCATTTAACAAACAATTTTATTGCTACACCTCTGTGATTTGTGAACTGGAACTGTGTTTAGTATGTGACTTCATTTTTTTAATGAATCCATCCAAATGAGGAATCAGACTTGGGCTTGTGTTCTTACTTCGGATGAAAATAAAAAATGAGTGGGTAGATTCAAGCAAAATAGAATAGTTAGTTAAATGATAAGTCCAAAGTGGAAAATGAGTCAAAGGTTGTGTTGGCTTTGAAGCTTCCTTCAAACTTAGGCAAGAATGGAGCTTTTTTCTAATCTCCTGTAGGAGAGACCAAGAATTCAGACCAATACGGATTTTTTCCCTGCACTTTGAACCTGTTTTGAAATAGCGCTTCACTCAGTTTATAAAATTTGTTTTTCTGTATCTTTTTTTTCTTCCTTTTCCCAGAATTTCTGAGATATCAATGGAAGTTGCTGAAGAAGGAAGAGTGTCTGGAATGAGTCCTCAGGCTCACATGAATGAGAAATGTGACTGCCCACTAGGATATTCTGGCTTATCCTGTGAGGTATGGTAACCATTTGACTTCCATGTAAGGTCTTTATGCTACATTACAGGGGTGGCAAAAATACAGCCCACAGAGCTGCTGTGTTCTGCCTGCTGGTGGGCCACTGGTGGGCCACCAGAAGTTGGGGTAGGCATATTTGGGGAGAGGGGAGAGCAACCTGATGCAAAATCCAGGGCCTTTGGGGTCTGGTAGACATGACAGTTGGCAGCAAAAGGGTAAGTGAGGGTTGATACAACCCTGGTCACCCTCTAGCCACTTAACCTGCTGCCACAGCCGCAGCCACAGCTGAATTCTAGAGCCGCTGCCACCACTGCATGTGCCATGTCAGACCTAGAGCTGCCACTGTGGCATGGGGCATGCAGTGGCAGCTTCAGCTCTGGCATGGGGCACATGGCAGGAGCTGGAGCTAATCCGCATACCCCATACTTTTTATTTATTAACAAACCCAGAACTTTCACATCTTGGTAGTTATTTAAACCACAACAAGAAAAGGTATGCTAAAATAATAACTGCTGTTTCCATCACCACATGCCATGGGTCAGAGCTGGAGTTACTGCTGCCACATAGGCTGGGTTAGAGTTGGAGCAGCCATTGCTATGTGCCCTGGGCTGGATCCAGCCTGCAAGGAACCCTGCAGTCTCGATCTGGCCTGGCGGGCAGTACAAGTTTGACACCCCTGCTGCATTAGATACATCTGTTAGTAAAGGGGTGATAAAGAGTTTTAGACAATGATTGTATTTTGCTATGTCCCCAACTCTATCTCAGTTTTATTTCTGTTCTGTCAGAGCCCATTCTTACAAAGCACCTAGGTACTTACTTAACTTTAAGTAGATATCTAGTCCCATTAAAGCCATTGGCACTGCTCACGATTTTCAAGTGAAGTATAATACACTTTACTGGATAAGAGTCTCAGTGTCTCTGTCTCAGTGTCTGATACAGTGGATAGCATTGTGTGGGTGGTTCTGATTAATGAAACCTTTTGGAAGAGATGAGAGCATAGTAGCAATACTCCAAGTGTTATAATATCACTCCCTTCTGGGGGCAGGCCTCTAAATATCACTTAATCATGACTGTGACTTAAAATGGCCAAATGCTGTCACTGGCTTCATATATCCTGGCTGTTCTTTTTCTGTTGATAGGGAGTTAGGTACTTTGAAGAACAACCAAGAAGGGAAAGAATCCAGGGGTCAGCAACATAATGCCGCCGGCTGGATCTGTCCTGCAAAGCCACCGGATCTAGCCTGTGGTGCCCTGAGGGCTTTGGTGGTATGGTGGCAATGGGGAGCTGTGCCCACACCAGGGTCAGCTGGCAAGGAGTTGCATCTGTGCCTCAGTTGGTGGTACAATGGGATGGACAGGGAGAAGCAACAGAGCAAAGGTAGGGAAAAGTAGTGGCAGAATGATGGAAACAGGAGGACAACAGAAAAAGATCAATGTGGCTGCACAAGGAACTTCTAAGACGTCTCAAAAGCAAAAAAAAAAAAAAATAGCATGCAGGCAGACCACTTAGGAAAAACGAAATAACAAGAACTTGGTGAGGGGAGGCAAAGGTAAGAATATACTTGGTGATGGAGGTTAAAGATAACAATAAGAGGTTCTCTAAATGTGGTGGCCAGAAAAGAAAGACCAAGGAAGCTGTAGATCTACTGTTAAATAGTGAAGATGATCTCTTAACAGAAGATTCAAAGAAGGCGGAGCTGCTCAAAAAAACTTTGCCTCAGTCTTCAAAAAAAAGTAAGATGCAACCAGACATCTAGTAAGGATCCTACGGATAAGGAAAAGGATCAAGCTGAGGGTTGAGATTAAAAAAAAAAAAAGTAAGTCAGAGAGCTTTTGTTTGGTTTGAATGAATTTACGTCAGCAGGGTCTGGTGAACTTCATCCCCGGGTACTGAAAGAATTGGCAGAGGGGATCTTGGAGCCCTTGGCAATAATATTTACAAAATCATTATAGACAGGTGAGGTACCAGAGGACTGTAATAGGGCCAACAGTGTGTCTCTTTCAAAAAAAGCAAGAAAGGAGGACCTGGGGAATTATAGGCTAGTTAGCCTGAATTCAATACCTGGGAAGTTATTAGAGCATATTGTATGGAAGTGCATTTTTGGAGAAGTGCAGGCATTTGAAAGAGGAAAGTCTGGTCACAAGTAGCCAGCATGGATTTGTCTAGAACAAATCATACCAAACAAATTTGATCTACTTTGACAAAGAAAGTAGCTGGGTAGATGAATTCAGGGGATATAATGCATTTGGACTTCAGCAAGGCTTTTGAAAAAGTTCCACACTACCTTATCATAAGCAAACTGGAGAAATGTGGACTAGACAAAACTTCTACAAGGTGGCTACACAGTTGGTTCAGTAGCTACAAAGGAAGGGTAATTACAAATGAAATCACATAGTAATAGCAGGAGGCTTTGAATAGAGTCACACAGGTCCTAGGTCTGATGTCATTCTATGTGTTTATTAAAGATTTGGATGTTGGAATAGAGAGCAAATTTGCAGATGAAACAAAAGTAGGAAAGACTGCAAACACACCTAGAGAACAGAGGCACATATTAGAAGTATATCAATAGAATGAAAAGCTGAGCTAGAGCCAACAGGATGAAGTTCAATGCTGACAAATGTAAGGTGCTACACCTTGGGAACAATAGTCAAAAACACAAATACAAAATGAGTGATGACTGGCTACATGGCAGTACTGCAGAGAAAGTTGCAGAGTAACACAGCTTCAAGAAAGGCTAATGAAGTTTTGGGCTGCATCAATAGGATGTCTGTTGTTTCAGACAGTAGGATACATAGCAATAGGTTGCAACAAAATAGGTTTAGATAGAATACCCAGAAAAAAACTTTCCCTTGTAGAATAGTAAGGTAGTGGAATAGACTGCCTAGGGAAGTTGTGGAATCTCCTTCATTAGAGATTTTCAAGAATATATTACATTAGGGATCAGGGATGATCTAGGGACAGCTATGCTTGGAGTGTGACAGAAAGACGAAGAGCTGGAAGCCTAGGAGTCTCCTCCCGCCTTAGCAATGGCTCTCTGAGAGATCATGAGATATTGCAGTAGATGTTGGAGAAGACAGGGTGCCTGGACAAGAGCATGGAGCCTGCTCCAATGTGTTGTAATTACAGTGCATCGGAGCAGACTCAATTAATCAAGTCTGCTGGAGCGTGGTAATTACTGTGCTCCAGCAGGCTCCTGTGTTTCATCTATCAGCGTCCCTGTGCTTCAAAATGGCAGTGGAGGCACTTGAACTAAAGCTCGTTCAATGAGCTTTAGTTCAAGCACCCTCACTGCCATTTTGAAGTGGGGGGATGCTGATACACAAAACACTGAGGCACTTTAATTAGAGTGGCTCTCGGAGCCACTCTAGCTAAAGCACCGCCCCCCTCTCTCCTGGAGCACGTGTAAAAGTGCCCGCAGCATTCAGCAGTAGGAAAATGAAGCAGAACTCCATAACCAGCTTGGTTATGAAAGAAAATTAAAGGGACTGGGTTTATTTTGCAGAAGGTAAAGAAACACAGAAAAGGATGTTCTGACTCTCCAGTTAGGGAGTGTGATGTGTAGCGGTGTTTGCTGTCCCCTGGTTGCAGAACAGAGTGGAGGGTGTTTGGTTTTTCCCATGCCTCTGGCCTTTGCTGGTTGCCGCATGGAGCTGGAAAGGATTTTTTTCTCTCCCGGTGTTATAGATATCAAGTATTTTTCTTTCCCTTCCTCAGAAGCAGCTGAGGTTGGGGATTTTGACTAGGGTGTACCAGTGCTCCTAATGGAACTACAACCCAGATGTTCCCAGTTAAAAGATCTCTCTCCACTCAGAGCCAAGCCAACCACCACACTTGGGATCAAGAAGAAACTTTACCTTGTGGTCAGATTGGCATGGACTGTGGTGGGTTTGCCGTCCTCTGTAGTGGGGGGTGGGAGAGAGCATGGCATTCTTCCTTGGATCCCTCAAGTGCATTTTAACAACCCTTTAAGAGGCAGGATTCTGACAGCCCTTGTCCCCCTGCTTTACCTGTGGCAGGTTAGGACACTTTTGGTGTCTTTGGGCAATATACCAGGTAGTTGTACAACAGAGTTGATCGTGTGTTTTTAGTAATAGGTTTGACAAGGATGTATGGGTAGGGAGCTCTGTAAATCACACTAGAACAGTCTTTAATGTTTTTCATTTCGCTGCTTCCCCCCACCATTGGTGGAGGGGCCCCAGTAGCTGTGCCACTTGCCACATTGCAGGGGAAGCAAAAACCACAGCATATTTAGAACTGTGATTTTCCCTTCCCTGGCAATCAACAACAAACAACCCAACTGCTGGGGCCCCTCCACCAGTTAGGGGCGGTAGGGGAAGCAGTAAAATGAAAAACATTAAAGAAGCCTCTGTGGGGAGCACTTCTGGCACGATTTACAGAGATCCCTATGTATGGGATGGTTTGGTTAGGGATGATCTTGCCTTGAGAATGAGGTTGGATTAGATACCCTCTGGAGGTCCCTTCCAGTCCTACTTTTCTATGATTCTACAGAACACTAGCCCACCTTGGATCCAGGCCATGTTGTTTCTGCCAGTAATGCAATGAAGGTTGGGGACTGACGAGGGCACCAACCCTTGGCGCTGACCCTGGGGAGAGGTGAGGGGGAGGACATGAAAAAGTAGAAGCATCTGTGTTGCCAGATCATAACCAGTGATGCTGCCTCTCCCATACACGCCTGCCACCCAGGGAGCTCAGGTGTCACAAATACACCTCTGGTTCCAGCCCGCACTCTGAAACCTTGCTGACTTCTTTCCAGACCTTGTTACTTGTCAGTAGAGCAAGGTGGATGCTGCCACAAATTTTGAGTGAATTTCAGTGAATGTTTTTAAATATATTTCTTTTTACTGTATCCACTTCTCTTCACTTGTATTCTGCAAGTTTTTTGGGTTGTTTGGTTTTTTTTCGGGGGGGGGGGGGGGTTGCAAATAAAGTTACAGGCAGGAATATTCCTTTCAAAAAGTGATTTCTAAGGGGATATTACATGAAATCATTTAACTGAAGGTGCTTTTGAAAATTTTACTCTGGTGGTAGGTGCTACAGAAACCACTTAAGACAGAGTGCTTTGGCTAGCTCTGTTTGTCAAATTCATATAAGTATTTCATAGACCATCTCCTGCAGGGTACAAGAGCCTAGGGCTAAACAGAAATGCAGCTCCAACTGGTGGTGCCCCCACTGAATAGGACTCTTAGTTGTTTCATGAATAGAATAGTACATACTCTCATTATTTAGCAGCAGTAACTCTAGCTGATATTGTTGCAATTGCTGAGCATAGCTAGTGGGAAGGAAAGAGCCTAGAGTGTTGTGCAAAACATTCAGCCTTCCTGTGAAAACTGCACATTGTGAGAGGAGTAAAATAATAGCAGTGAGGGAAGAGGAGTGAATGGAGGGTAAAGGAAGCAAGTGAAGAGCACTCAAAATTGTGTTATATCTGTAAGAACTTGTATCCCATTTAGTTCAACTATTTTACAGTCTGCAGCAAATAGATTAAGAGAAGTAAATGGTACACTGTTCATGATGCAAGGAAAGTGAATGAAGGCCAAGCCCAACATCTTGCCTTGTTTATTGTGAAACCTTTATGTGCCCCAATATGTGTGTGTGCGTGTGTGTGTGCATGTGTGTAGAGTGAGAGAGGGGGAGGCTTTTATAGACTCTGTTTGTCTAACCTGTGCCCAGCAGTAGATGCAGTACAGAAGTTACACATTAAGATCATTGAACACTTCTATAAGATGTTACATTTGAGGGGGGTGGAAATAGTATTTATAGTTAGAAGTAAAATTACTTTCATTTGAGTTTATTCAGTTAAATTAGAAATTTTCCCAAGCCATGACTGTTTCTGTGCATCAAGGATCTTAATATAGTTGAAAGAAAAATAAGTAAAAAAAGAAAAGTAAACTTAGATTATTTGCTTCTGAGTATAAAAAATATAGCAGTGTTTATGCTTTAGTAAATTTTTGTGCATTGGCAATTAGGAAGTTGACATTCTGCTTTCTACGGCGATAATATAGTCTATATCCAGTGTGCTCCACTGTCTATGCTCTTTGTGATGCCACAAAATTGTTGTATAGCCTTTATTCCAGTTCTCTTCTGCATCCATTTTACTGCATGTAAGGGTGACACAACTCCTATGCCTTCAGAAAACCTTAAATCACCATTGACAACAGGACGTGGTCTCAGAAGACCCCCTTCATCAGATCAATATATCTGGTCACTAGTATATCAGCTAGTATCTATTTCTCAGCTGTATACTAACCCCTAATGGGTTGAACCATCCAAACAGCCCTGTTTTGTTTTGTACTTCCCTAGCTGTCTGCTTTTGGAGAGCTACGTAGACACTTCAGTACATTTACATAATAAGCCTGAAAATGAAGACTTGAGGGCTTGATTTTGCATATGTCAGCTTTGCTAGCAATTTTTGGTTTGCTCTCAGAATTTTATTGCCAAGTGAAAAAAAATAGATCAGTGATGGATAAATTTGATTTTGGAGATAATAGTCCCAAGACAAGTAAAGCTTTTATTATTTTGAATTCTTTACTTTTATAGTCTTTAAATTACATGGCTATAAATAATGCAGCTGTGAAGACATTTTTTTTTGCTGAGTATCATTGGGCATTTGCTTGTTATCCATCAGGCAGTATGTAGGCAGATATTACCTTGTCAAGTCTGAAAAACACACCAAGGACAAGGGGAGCAGAATCATTCTGCTTGCTCCCAACAGCCTATGCAGTGTTTGTTTTAAAAATAAACCTCTTTCTCAAAAAATACAAGGAAGGATGTTTGATGCACAGAGTGAAAGGCTGGGTATTCTGCATCTGAATGAACAGTCTTGCAAGCTGCAAAATGAAAAGACTGGTACCAATGGAGTGCTCCAGGGACTTTACAGTGATGTTTCCAATTAGGCTTGGTTCCAGCTTCTGTAAAGTATTGTATGTTGTTTATAACACAGTTGGAGGCCTGTCAACTTTTTTCACTACTTGAAATAACTGGTTTCTTTTTTGCAAAGATGAGCTTGCATTGCTTCCCTCATCCATCCACTATGTAATGAACTGTTTTCTTCTCTTTGTTTGCAGATATGTTCTCCAGGATTTTATAGACTTCATTCAGTATCTGCTGGCAGGAGACCTAGTGCATCCCTAGGTACCTGTGTTGTATGTGAGTGCCATGGACATAGTGATATGTGTGATCCTGAAACATCTATGTGTCAGGTATTAATAAGTGCTTTCAAACCCATGCGCTGTGTTCATCATAATGTAAAAATCATATGTTGTGCTGTGGAACTGAAAAATTGGATGATGCATTTTAATGTCCTTTAGCTTAATACAAACCAGTCAGAATTTTTCATAATGATCATCTTCAATTAGGGCTTCCAGTTACATAAGTTTCCTTCTTCCCCTCATCTCCCAATCCCAGCTACTGCTTGCTGAAGCAGGAAAAGTGAAATACCTGTAAATCAAATATGCAGTTTACTCTTTTTTCCCACCAACAAGCAAAATTTTGTTACAATAGGTAATAACATGCATGACCTGGTGACACAGTAAGATGGAGTTTTAATTGATTATTTCTCCTACCTCTCCTACAGCAGGAGCAGAGGAAGAAAGGGAAGGATGGATGAAGGGGATGAGATATTCTGTAGCAATATATATGGCTAGCTGCAGGGCTCCATTCTTGTTTCATGAAAATCCATATGTAACTCCGCATGGGCTTAGCAGATTCTCAAAGGAGGCAACCCCAATGAGAATCACATCAGAGGCAACAATGAAAAGCTCATTCAATGAAAAACATCCTTTGTATCTAAGAATGTTTGAATCCCTTAGGGTGGGAACAAAATATTACCTTCTTTCTTGTAATTATCAAATAATACTTCTTCCCCCACCACTTCCTTTGTAGAACTGTGATCCCAGCACTACTGGTGACCATTGTGAAAGGTGCGCCCTGGGATTTTATGGCAATGTCCAAGGATCTCCAGATGACTGCCAGCCTTGTGCTTGTCCTCTGATCATTTCCAGTAACAAGTAAGTGTATGGCACAAAATGCCTGCCCACCCATTAATATCATTGCCTTGGTCTCACTCTGTCCTCAGTCAGTTGTACACAGTAGAAGTGCAGCATAGAGAGTCATGCTAAAAAGTTTCCAATTCACTTTTACTAATTGATCTTGCTTAAAGAGTCAGGAATTGCTCCCTTGCTAATTAGTGATGAATAAATTAATAAGGAATGGAAAATGCAATACTCAACAGATAATGAATGTGTGTTATAAAAGGTATTCTCACAAGTGATGCTAGAGCAGAGCTCAAGTACAATGTATCCACGAGAGAGCTGTAAAAAATCTTATGCTCATATATTGTGTTGGTATAAATGTATTACAGTGCCTTTCTTCCTCTACTGTGGAATTTATTGATTCCTTATTTAATGTTACATGAGTTTTAGGCAATTTGTGAAGAATAGAATAATTTTAAAGCAATGCAGTTATTGCAGTATAAATTTTATTGGTTGCCTTATGCTAATAAAGCTTGCCACGTTCCCTATGCTTGTGTACCCCTCAAATGATACCTTAACACTTGAGATGCCCTTCATGCCATTAGGAATCATATTTTACCACTTATCTAAGAGGTTTGTAGCACATTTTCATTCTTTTGGAAATCTGGGGCCATGTGGCTTTCTTGAAAGCCACTTTTCTACATTGTCACTGATTAGAATGTTGTAGTGAGTATATTGGTTATTATGCTTCTCTTAAAAACGGCATCTTTTACCTTCATCATTCCATTGTTATGAAGGATAGTTTAAGCTTGGGTCATTTTTGGATGGGAAGGTTCTAAGTCTAACCTCAGTACCTGATATCTCAGTCAATCTTCATCCAAGGAAAGTGATGTTAAGAATCCTTAGCGCACTTAAGTACAGAGTCTAGACCAGCCAAAACAAATATTTAAGGGTGAATTAAGTTACCTGTTTCAATTCTTAGTAGCACATCAAATGCAACAAATGACTAAGACTGTAAAACTGTTGACCTGAGGGTATTTCTTTTACAAAACATAATGATCCTTATACTTTCAGGTATCTGTCTCTGGGAGTGGAATCTCTGCCCTGTTAGGTGTCTATATAATTCATGAGAAAGTCGGTTCAAAATGAGATTAATTGCCAGCATGAACTGTAATACAGTAATAAGCCATTTATGTCTTAGGCACTCAACTCTGGGTTGCAGGAAAGTATTTATGTCATATCAGGATTCACTGTCTAAAACCCTTTCTTGGATATATCATTCCTTTTAAAAACAGAGCAGAGGTCACTTCTTTCTTGTGGTGCTGCCCTTCTGTATAATAGCCAAGGACATGAGAGAGCTAAGCCCTAAGCCCTCTTCAGTTTAAGGAGATTCAAACCCACATCTTTCTCCTCCTTCAGGACAGCGTGCTAACAGCCCAACTGCAGGGTTCTCTGGGATACAGCAAGTCTCCTCTTGAAGTAGTATAACTGCAAAAAATAGAAATAAGACTGACTGGGGCAAAATGAGGGAGCAGGGGTGACTAGAGCATTCCCCTGTAGGATGAGTGACATAGGCTCCTGTCCATGCTCTGAGCTGTTTCAGTATTTTACCTGGAAAATTACTGTTACCTGTAAATTGCATAAGCAATGAGAAATATGGGTGAGAAACCCCTTAAGCATTCTCCCCTCAGACCCATGTCCTATCCCCCCTGCTGAATGCTATTGTAAAAAAGGGGACACCACCAGTATCATCACAAGGGCTAGGTGCAGACATTTAAAAGGCCTGAGCCTGAATTGATTCAGTCTTTACAGGTTAGTCTAACCTGGCTAGACTAAATCAGTTTGTAACCCAGACAGACATTCCAGAAATGCAGGCACATTCCTGCAGTGGCTCAGGCTAGAAGCTGGAGGGTGCTAGAGCAGCCCTCCATTTCTTCCACCACACTGAGCTGAGGTGGGCCATTGTCAGGCCCGGGCAGGATGCTCTGATTAGCCCAGCAGAGAATTGATACCAGTGTTTATCACCCCATTAAGAAAACAACACAGGGACATTACCAGCTATCTGTTGATTCTGCCTGTTAATTCTACCTGTTGATTCAGTACGGACCATAACCAAAATGAGGTCTGCTAGCTAATACAAAGACACCTCTCTGCAAGGCAAAGGGGAGGGGGGAATTCCTGCTTAGCAGGGGAGGGGGAGAGCAGCCTGCAAATCTCTGGAGCTGCAGCCACGAGGGGCTAGCCCTGCTTCTGGAGCAGAGAGCCCCACCCAGCCCAGAGAGCATACTGGGATGCTGGGGGTGTCTGGTTTATTTTAAACCAGCAAAGGGTCTGGGACAGACATTGCATAAACCAGTTTGAGCCAAATCAGTTAAGTCTAATACTACATTCAGCAAGGTTTATCTCAAACTGGTTTCATCCATTCTCAAACTAGTTTATGTACACTGAACATCTGTTCTGTTACAGGTTTAAATCAGTTTATGATCACTTATGTGTAATGTCCCTAGCCTTAGAGGTATGTATTTAAGTGCAAGTGGACATAGACAAAGTGTTTTGTTCATGAGCATGTTCTGAGCAAGCCTACTGGATTGAACCCCTCAGGGGAGACAGTCATCTTATTTGAGGATCCCTGTCATGCTTTAGCATGGGAGAGGCATTGAGCTGCCAAAATAATGGCATATATAGAACTTGTGGGCTAAGGACAGAAATTACACATGGACCAGTATAAGTGATTGGAAACAGGTTCAAATCTATAACATAACAGAAGTTCAGTACACATAAACCACTTACAAAATGGCTGAAACCAGTTTAAGGTAAACTTAGATGGATGTAGCATCAGATTTAACTGATTTAGGTTAAATCAGTTAACTGAACTTATGTCTCAGATCCCCTCTAGATTCAAGTTAACTCATAGTCCCCCAGCATCCCAAGGCACTTTGTGCCTCCCCCACAAACCCTCTCCCCTTGCAGGGTGGGTGGACTAACCTTGGCCCAAGCTGTCTGCTCCAGCCAAACAGGGAAGCATGCTCTAGTGCCCCTTGGCTTCTGGCCTGGACTCCTGCAGGAATGTGGCTACATTTCTAAAATCAAAAGTGAATGTCTGTTCACTTGCCAATTGGTTCAATCTATGCAGCTTAAACTAACCTGCACAGATTTAATTGATTCAGCCTCAGGCTTTCTGACTGTCTGTACTTAGCCCTGGTGCCTAAGAAACTTCACTAACAAAAGCTTAGTGCACCCAAAACTTGAGGACCATTAAGGTAGCCAAGGTTTTTGAAGACAGCACATCTAGACTGATGCAATCTCAATTCTGCCTAAATTATCCTTGGGGTGCTTGAGTCCTTTTGTGGAGCTGCGCCAAAGCTCTTGGGGATGACAATAAGAAAAAAAATAGATTCAGAGACTCTATGAAAGGCAGATAGTAATAAAACTATTGACTGATACATGCAATACAGATAGGCAAGTAATTCGGCCACTTTGCAGAACTTAGATTAACAATAATATTTTTGAAGCAATGGGATATAATTGTATTGTTTTCATTTTTTAAGTTTTACAAGACTCCAACTAAGTTGTAAAGGATGTTTTCTTATTTCTGTGTACTCAGCATTCAGCTTCAAATGTGATGAGCTGAAAAAATGTAGAGAATGAGTTGCTTATGGGTTTGTGGATCCATTTTTACAGACTCGAAAATGTGTTGGATAATGAGTTTGTAAGTAGATCAATTTGTTTACATTTTTTGCACAGGTGTAATTTTATTACTCATTCAAGCACTATTGATTTAATGCATTATAAGCACGTTAGAGTAGGATGCTGACGGCATTGTACCAAGGGAGAGTACTCGCCCCAACTAAAGCCACCTCAGTGCTTTTTCAGCAGTAATCTGGTTTGGCAATCCCTTTGTGAAATCCCTGCACAAAGTGTTGAATGAATAAATTTTGTAGCATTGCACCATTTTGACACTTTGCTGCACTTTTCCTCCATTTATTTATTTATTTATTTATGTGAGTACAGGAACCCAAATTACAAGGATTCCAACAGCTTGCTATAGTACTCATTTTTCAAAGGCATATGACATAGTTACTGGCTGGAGGAACAGAACTTATCTTCTGTGTGTAAAACATTTAGTGACTGAGCTAAAATGAAAATATTTTAGTTAGTCTAGTACTCAAGCTATTTATTTCTTTGAAGGCCAGACCAAGAAGTTGAGATTTACATACATGCTTTGACCAGTTTGATTTCTTTCTAGCCAAGTGCAGAACTATATTCCATTTCCTTTTTCTCTGAGCCTGTCACCCGCCTCTGACACCACTGAACATGATTCTCTTCTGATATCTTGTCCTCACTTGGTTTCTGAAATTTGATCCTCTTGTTCTCTTCCTCTATCATTTTCTCATCCACCTTTAAGAAAACTTTTTGGTAGTTCAACAGGTTCTGTTGATGGTGCCCTTGTCTTTTCCCATTCCCCATTATCTCTGGGTAATCTTATTTGCAGTCTCAAATTCAACTCCTTTCTCCATGCATTTGACTCACAGGCCTACCTCTCTATAACAGACCCATTTCCCCTGCATCTGCACTAATATCTCAGCCGCCTCCTCTGGCATTTATTTGTGGCAGTCTTTCAGCTCAAGGTGAACATAACTAAAACAAAACTATCAATCTTTCCCATTCACACTCTGACCATTACCCCCTTTCTCAGTTACTGTAGCCAAGAGCACTGTCCTGCCTGCTCTTCAAGTCTGTAACCAGGGCATTATCTTCAGGTCATATCTAGGCAATGCAGAAAGAATCAGCAAGGTTTAACTTCAACATCTCTAATGTGGCCTTTCCTATCCTTAGCTAAAACTCTTATCCAGGGTTTTATCACCTTGAGTTTCAATTATCATGATATCCTTTTCTTTGGTCTCATCAAACCTAAACCCTTGATCATATCCAGGCATATCAGTATACAAATATAATTTTCCTAGCTCACTGCTTTGACCATGTTATTCTTCACTATGCTTTCAATACTATCCCTACCTGATATAACTTCTCTCATTCACTATAAAAAAGTTGACACCCTTCTCTAGTGGAGAAGTGATGCCATTCTCCATATTCTCCTTGTTAAATTTTTAAAACAAGCTCCTTCACATTGCCTCTCAGGCTTGGCAGCAGCTGGCTAGGAACCTCCAAAAGTTACCTCCTTTCAAGCCTTCCTTAAAGTTCTTCCTTTCCATGATGCCTACAAAAAATAACTAAAATAAAATGTGTTTCTGATATATTGAAACTTCTTCCTAGCATGCTGAACTGTATTTTCATAATTTTCTTGTACTTGCCTGACTTTCTGTATCCACTTACCCTTTATAAATTGTTTAGGGGCAAGAACTATATGTTTTTGATTTATTTGTATGGGACCTGGCACAGTAAGGTTCTGGGCCAAGGTAGTAGAAATAACTAATAATAGCAAACACTTGGGCAGGTTTGAATCTATCTATTAGGTGTCAGAGGTACTACAGTACAAAATATGGGACAGAGAACCTAAAAAATAGGTAAACATGGAGAGTCGGAAAATACACTGTTTTGGGTGAAATGAGAAACTTTTCCCAGCTTGTGTCTTAAGCTCCATAAAAGTGATCTGTAGAAATCTTATCACTGGAGAGGAGCGTTTCAGTGGAGGTATGCAGGTAGATAAGAATATCTGGTGTTATTATTGAAGAACAGACTTTTGTCATGTAAAGGCATTCAGTTTCTGTTGGGAAAGTCACTGATCCCCCAGTAGAAGCCACTACTGTACAGATGTTCAGGATTTTTTCCTAGAGCAAAAATGGCTGCTCCAGAACAGAAATAACCCAGAAACAACCAGGGTTAAATCACTTCTGGGAGAATTTTTGCTGGGAGAGTGAATGTCTATATACTTTCCGTTCTGAGACAAGCCACCGCACAGTCCTTCAGCACGCCAGGGTACTTTGCTTCCCCCCAACCACTGAGAGAGAATTCGTTATTTAAGCTGTACTGTACTCCTCCAGCAAAAAAACCCCTTTCACAATTCCCACATTGTGCTGTGAGAAGACACAGGCTGACTCTGAGCAGTCTGTGCCCTGCTGCTATCCGTCTCCAGGCAGACTAAGGGATCCTGCAGAACATGCTGAGGTATATATGCAGAGGCCCTCAGTCTGCATAGCATCAGCACTGCAAGGTCTCTTCTCTTCTGCTAGCATCAGTGATGATGCATGTGCACCCCCTGAGAGTATTGGTGCATCCCCTGACAGCCAGCATTCCTGGGCAGGGGGGCAGGCAAAAGCTCTGATGCTCCCCCCCGAGAGTGCCAGCTGGGGAGTGGAGGCACCAGGCAAAGCAATCCCTGCAGTTCCCCCACGGCTGATCATGCCCCCCTCCCCCCCGGAAGTGCCAGTGGTGCATTGCTGCCACTTCAGGTCAGCATGATTGGCTGTGGGACCTCCCCCATCAGCACTATCTGCCACAGGGGGACCCCCGCCCCAGTTGGCACAATCAGTGCCCCCACTGACTCAGGAGGCACCAGTCACCCATGGTTAGCATTTAAGTATCTGTTTGGGGATCTCCAGGTAAGTGTTTTTCACCAGGAAATCACACCCAGGAGAATTCTCTCAAATCATTTGAATGTGTGTATGCAGCATTCGTTAGTGTTTCTTCTATAGGCAAACTAAAGTTACATGTCTATATATTAATATTATGTTTCTTTTTCTATTGTAGTTTCAGCCCCTCTTGTATTGTGGAAGGACACTATGATTATCGGTGCACTGCTTGTCCACATGGCTATGAAGGCCAATATTGTGAAAGGTAGGACTGAGTGAGTGGGCTGGCAAGGGAGAGAGAATGAAAAAGGAGGCCGTGTGAGAGGAAAAAAAAAAAAGAATCTTAATGAAAACATGTTAGTCACTAAATATGCTTCTTTTGACAAAGTATTTCCTCTTCTGTTTATGGTTCAGAATCTGGATGTAACAAGTATTTACAAATTTCCATTTGAAATTTACAATAGATAAACTCATTAGCATTACAGTATAGTCTTTTAAATGTTTTTTTTAAATTCTTCATTCATTTCATTGTACCCTCAAATTCAAATGAAATTGTTATATTATGTAAAATTATATATTGTCAATATAGTTTGCCTCAATGTCTAGCATTATTTTCAGATTCTCATATTGATTATTATTATATCCTTCTGTATATTGACTACAAGGAAGACATTTACAGTTAAACTTTAATAAACTAAAGAGAATGTAGTTTTCCCATGTATAACAACATGTAGCTGCATATACAATATGAATAAGTTGAGCACAATTAACAGGTGTTTATTAATATAAATGTCACTTTTAACTATGTGGCCAGGAAACTACTCAGAAAGAATTTTATGGTCTTGAGATAAGAGGCAGATAATGGGATAACTTTCAAGTCATTCTGTAGTGAGGTTTTAAAAACTTATAGGACACTGGCTTCACTTTTGCCCATTCCCGCAGTCCTGAGCCACACCTGCATATTAATTACAGTATGGTGCCTATAATTATTTTGTCAATTTGGTTGCCAAATTTCTCCCCTATGTTTGTGTATTTACTCAAAGAGTACCCAGATATTAAAAAATGACATGTTTTGGGAAGATTCAACTTGATCACAGGCTAGCCAGTTAGAGGGAATTATAACACAATATGCATCTCAATAGACCAACTCTGGGTTCATATGCTTAATGTCTAGATGTTCTTCTGGGTATGCTGGTGACCCCAAAACTCCAGGAGGATCCTGCCAAGAATGTGAGTGTGATCCATACGGTTCACTGCCTATCCCCTGTGATCCGGTCACCGGACAGTGCACTTGCAAACCTGGATCCACAGGGTGGACCTGTTCAGGCTGCAAGCATCGGCATGTGCGTGATGGCATGAAGTGTGTTTGTATGTACACTAGCATTACTTTGGGGGTTTGGTGGTGGTTCTAGTTGCATGCCATTCAGTGAATCTTGTTGTACCTATAGTTGGTTTGGTATTCTTTTTTAACCCCCTCTTCCCTGAAAATACCCATCAGTATTCTGATTTTCCCTGGCAATCTGCTTTCCTGTTCTCAAAAGCCTTGAGCTGCTGGGAAAATCCTCAGCAAAATTTAATACACAGTTTACAAGAAAGCTCTGAAGGACTTCTTTTTGTTAAAGTTTGCAGTTTTGCCAAAGGTTGGCATTGCTACTTTGACAGATAAAGATTTGAGTTTATTGAATTTTTTAGTATCCTCCTAAATTTTTAATCAGTGGTTCCACAGTTTTGTACCATGAGTCACACACAAACTCTGAAAAGTTTTCACCAAGGCTTATTTGGTCATGCTAGTTCACAACCTCCTTTTGAAAGCCAGATAGAAGGAATGACAGTATATGTTCACAAACAAACAAAAAAAGTCTTTTGTTTAAAACATAAAACTAATAGCCAATACAGCCTTAGAACACTGAGTTAAATTTTACAGTACTGGTACCTTTGCCCTTGCCTTCAGTTTTTATATGTTCAGATTGTCTTCTTTTTTATTATTGTTTGGAATTTGGTTTCCGTGAAATTGGATATTGTGTTTGTTCTGAGCCCACAATCTCATTTCCTGTGATATTGTACTCTTATGTCTTATCAAAAGCACACAAAAAATAAGGTTGCAAAACGTATTCTTGGACACTTAGTCAATCCTGAAGTGAAATAAGGCAATTTATTCCAAAAAACTGAGTAGGAACTAATTTAATTGTGATCTTTCTTTCCCTCCAGGCTTTCACATTATTGTTCCTTTTAAAATAGAATACAGATAGGGATCCAATAAGCCCTTAGTATATTATATATTTTTATCCTGTGCATGTTCGGATAGATTGGCAGGGCAGAATGAACTAGTTTTAATGTTTTATCTGATCTTAATTTTGTTGTAAGATTTTAATTGGAGCTTTTTCATGTTGTTATTTTTCTTTTTCTAAGTGAATCATATATAACATCAAGGCAGAGAGGCACCATATTAATAACATGTATTTTTCACATTGGGTAAAATCCTAATAGTACTTGTTATACCTTACTGAGTTTAAGTCTCAGTGATGTATGCATTAACACTAAAAACATCAGCTTAGTGCTCAGCAGCTGTCAAGAAGGCAAACAAAATATTAGGGATTATTAAGAAAAGAATTGTAAACACATAGAAACTATCATTAGGCCCCTTTATAAATCCATATAAAAGATGTATAAAGTGTCCACACCTTAAATACTGTGCTCAGTTCTGTCCCCACACCTCAGAGAGAATATAGAAGAATTAGAAAAGGTACAGAAAAGAGCAACAAGGATGATTAGTGGTATATAGGGACAGACATCCATATGAGGAAACACTAAAGAGGCTAGGCCTATTCAGTTTAGAAGAGATGCTTGAGAGGGGACATGATAAGGGTTTACAAAATACTAAATGACACTGAAAAAGTAAATAGGGATTAATTATTTACTATCTCTCGCAATACAAGAAACAGGGGTCACAAAATGAGACTAGTAGTAGGTAGTAAGTTTAAAACTAACAGAAGGAAGTTGTTTTTCATACAGTATGTGTTTAAAGTGTAGAAGTCATTGCCACCAGATGCTGTGAAAACTGACAGTTTAGCCAGATTCAGAAAGGGATTGGCCAGATTCTTTGAGGATGGGAGTAAGGGGTACTGCCTCTGAATCAGATCTTCCTAGACTTTAATGCTGGAGGCTGCAAGTGAGAGAGGAGCAGTAGAAAAAGCCCTGGTCATACCTTGTTCACTCTCCCTTTCAGTATCCACTCTTTGCCACTGTGTGACACAGGATACTGGGTAAGATGGACCTCTGGACTGACCCAGTAAATGGCAGCTCCTAATGTTTTTAATTTAGATCAACATAATCAGAGTTTGGTTGATATAAATGACTAGACATGCAGGCAATGCCCAATCAGAAGGTTTAATTTAGTCAAAAACTGGTGCACCTATTTTAAGTTAGTGTATTACAGGAGGTGCACTAATTTAGACTGAGAAAGATCGGAGTTAACCTGATCTCATGATGAATGCCTGTACATGTTCGCAGCATAGTCCTGGGGTTGGGAAAGCCAGCTGTTCACCTCAGCCCTGCGGCTATGCTGTTTCCATCCTCCCAACCCTGACCATGCTATTTTAGTCCCCTGACTCCCTCCATGGACCCGCCAACCCACTCCCCAGACTTGCCAGTCCTCTCCATGTCACACCTGCCTCCACCCCGAGTTACATCAGTCTGACCACTCTGCTCCCAAGGGCAGTGAATGTTTACATGTGATGCTCCCAGATGCTGAATGTGGATGTTATATAAATGAAAAGTATTATTACCATTATTACTATTCAGTAACTATCTTATAGTGTATTATAAAAGCACAAAGAAAAAGCTAATATAGTAGATCTCTTTCATATAGCTTTAGGGCCTGATTCTGTGTTGCTCTGTACTTTATATTATCATATACAAGCGGTGCCCTCCTAATCCCATTTTTGGGCCAGATGAATGGTATGGGCCCAGTCCATGGGCCTGTTCTGCCACCCGGGTGATAAGCACTATCACTTCTGTGTGTAAATAGCATGATTTACAAAAGCCAAAATCCCATTCACACATACAAGCTCCATACTAATGGAGGCAGGATGAATGATGACAGAATGAGTGAGTGGCACCAGCATTAACCCATGCTCCCACCCCCACCTCTGTCCTGCTTGGGGTGGATCCTTGTGTCCCCACCCTGGACAAAACCCAGAGACCCCCATACCTGCATGAGTGAGGGTAGCCCCAGGAGACCAGAGCCTAACTGTGCTGCAAGGCAAACATGCCTCCCTCTGCTGGCTACCTGCAGCTGAGAGATGCCTGTGGCTAACAGATGATGTGGCAGGGGTTTGGGGGCATGATTGCTTGTGCCTGTCAGCCAGTCATCATGGGTGGCCTGGGCATTTGGCTGTGTTCAGCAGTTTCTGGCAGCCCAAAGGCATGCTGGGAGTCATGCAGGAGTGCCCCCAACCTGTTGGCCTTGGCCAGTTCAGGCCACCTGTGTGTCCTCCCCACCAAAGGGCCTAGGGTTCTTAGAGTAAACCACATAACTTGGATCTGTTCCTCCTCAGGCTTTTCAAATGTCTGTACCTAGCCTTAGGTGCCTGTCCTTGTTGTATTTAGGTGGGGAAAATTGTGAGCAAAAACTAGAACTATTTTAAATTATTAGATCATCAATTTGAACTTCAGAGTTATATTTTTATTTCTACCTACACACGTTTCATTTTCCTGTTCCTACTGAGAACCAGAGTTAGACTTACGTATTTTAGTATTGGAAGATAGGACTGAGAGGGTCTTTTTCACATTATCAAGCCTAGTCCTCTGCTGTTCAGACAAGCACACCACGTAATCCCTTCCATAACTCCCTTTACCCCACATAATTTCTTCAAGCTCTCTCTTAAAGTGAGTTAGTTTTGCTTCATTTTGTTTTGCTTTTTTTGCCACTGCATCTCTTATTGGGAAGCTCTTGCACAGTTTCTCTGCCATGATGGCTAAAATCTTTTCTCCAGCTTCCAACCTAGATTTACTTATGGCCAGGTTATATTCATTTGTTCTTGAGCCAACATTTTCCTTTAACTTAAATGTGGCAGACCATTTCCCAACTTCCCATTTCCCCAGTTGATTCTGTTCAAATAGTAGGTTTATGATGTGCCCAAATGCATGGAGCCAGTATAGGTGGTTGTATGCACTTTCTCCTCCTTATAGATTATAGAGGATGTGATATGAAGTGTGTCAGAGTTAAAGACCATTGGTGAACTTATGATGTACTGATGATCATTAGCGGTCAAAGGTCCCATCAAGAGCTACTGAAAGTGGATGTCACTTAGAGAAGCCCTGACACGTTTTCTCCCCCACCCAGAGCCCTTGGTGGTGCAAAGTTAAACTTTGCAACTGAGGATCTGACTGCTTATGTTACAGCTTAGGTAGTCAAAAGTGGCCTACTTTAAGGCAAATATACACAAATGGATGCATGTAGGTAGTAGATATAGTTGTATTATTATACATTTAACGTAACTGTCTGCTCAAGCTATTAACATTTTGGTAGATCATATTTAATATGATCAGAAATTAATATAGATTTTGGATGGTTGTGTTCAGCACCAAATAATTTCTCCTAATGAATTCTTTGGAAATGTTCTTTAAAGGGCAACACTATATTTAAAAACAGGACATAAAAGTTAAGGAATACACACTGAAATCCTATTAAAGATGACTTTTTAGCCAACCTATTACAATGTATTATTATTCAAATGTAACATTTATATGTTAATGTTTCTTTATACTAAATAGCTTAATGGTGAAAAACTTGCAGAGAAAAGGCAGAAAAATACCAAAGAGAAGTGTGCACTTGCATCTAAATAATTGCATTAAAAATATAATCTAATTTGTACAATACTAGTTTGTCATACCTAACAGTTGTTACTTCTTTTTAAAAAAATTATGACATTATTTTTGCTACTGTTTAGGAGATAACCTTTTTCAGCGTTGTTTCATGACAGTTACATTGTACATAGTGACAGATTGCTTTAAACAACTATTGTACAATGGGAACAAGTTAGTTACACTTTCATTGGAATAGAACAATAACTACAGATGGATAGCTGTTCCAAAATCAGCTTCCCCAGTAACCTCATCAGAATAATGTTAGGTTTACTCTGATGTGCAGTTAGGACAGGGTGGTAAAAACATGGCCAAAAATAGAATCCTATGAAAAAGACAGTAGTCTGAATGACCTAGGGAAATAACTTATGAACTAAATGAGCTTGCATTTTCAGAGTGGCATGTTGATGAAGGGCTCCTAGCTGATTAATATACATACCCATTGCAGCTTGTGTTCTCATGGAATCCATTTATTATAACTCATTTTCCCTTCTTTGTTCAAA